ATATAGTACATTTTAAACTATATTTTAAAAAGAATTATAGATATTTAAACTTTATAATTAAAGGTATTAAAACCTATTTTTAATATAAACTATTTTATTAATTATATTATAAACCTTAATATTTAATTAGTTTAAATTCTTAAAAATAGTAGAAATAGTATATTAAAGTTTATAATATAAAATAGGATTATATTAAATATTATTTTAATTATTATAAATTTAATTAATATTATATATTTTAAAAGTAATTTATATCCTACTTTTTATAAAAATATTAAATTAAATATTTAAATCTTTTATTATAATATTTTAAATTATTATTTTTAATAATTAAAACCTTTATTATATTTATATTTAAAATAATATTTTAAAATATTATAATAAAATAATTTTAAATAACTATATTTATTTTTAAACTTTATTTAAATTTTAAAATATTAGTTTTATTAATAAAGTAATAAATAAATATTTAATTCTTTAAATAGTAAATAAAGTATTATTTATTACTATTATTTTATTAGTTTTAATAGTTATTATTATTTTTAATTTCTTTTATTTCTAAATTTATACCTTTTATATTAATAACTTATACTTTAAAGTATTCTTTTAATTACTTTAACTTTATTTATTATTTTTATTTTTTATTAAAAGTTAAAAATTATTATTTTATAGTTTTCTTTTAAATTAGATAATTAATTAACTAATATTTTTACTTTTATATATAATATATATTTTTAGTTTTATTATATTTTTATTATATATTAGAAAATCTTTTTATAATATAGTTTTTATAATTCCTCTTTAAAATAATTTTAGAAACTATTTTTAAATCCTTTTATTTTAAAATAATAGTTAACTTTATTAAAGTAATTAAAATAGTTTATAATATTAATAATTTATATATATTATTTTTAAGGTATTATAATATATATAAAGCTTTATTTTAATTATTTAGTTAAAGTTATATTAAGGAAATTATAATTTATTATATTAACTTTTATATTTAGTTTAAATATTATTAATATTACTTTAAATTTTTATAATTTATAATATACGTTAATAAAGGTAACTTATAATTATTTATTTATATTTTATAATAATTTAAGTACCTTTTAAGCCTTTATTAAGGTATTAAATAAAATTTAAAATAGTTTTTAAATATTTTATTAATATTATTATTATTTAATTTAATAGTATTAAGTATACTATTAGTTTAGTTATTATAATATTATTAATAGTTTATTTTAATATTAAAATAAAATTAAATTTTTAAATAGATATTTTTAAATATATTATTTTTAATATATTAAATTTAGTAATTAAATATTAATTTAAATATAATCTTTTAAAACTATTTTAAATTCTAAAAGTTAATTTTATAAGTTTTATATATATAAAATATTAAATAGACCTTAATATTAAGTATATTATATATTTATTTTATATAATATTAATTTTATTATATAGTTTAATAAACTTTATTAACTTATTTAATAAAATAATATTATTTTAAAACTTTTAAAAGGAGTATATTATAATTATTTATTTTATTAGTTTATTTTAAAGTATAATTCTAATATTATTTATTCTAAAATAATTATAATAGTAAAAGTCTCTTTAAAACTATATATATTTAAATTAATAGTTTAAACTTTATTAGTATTATATACTATTATTATTTCTATATTTCTAAATTTAAGGTAGTAATTATCTTTTAGTAATTTCTATATAGAGTTACTTTTAAAAATACCTTTTAAATTATAACTTTCTAAGTAATATTATTTATCCTATATACTATAAAAGTAGATTTAACTATATAATATCTATTTCTTACCTATTTAACTATTTAAATAAATTCTTTTAGACTATAATTTCCACTAATAATTATAATATATTTAAAGTTAACTTTTAATATATATTCTATTATATTTAAGTATATAATTTATTTTTATAGAATAATCTTATTAATTTTTAAATACCTTTATATTATAATTCTTAAAGTTATTAATAAACTTTAAAAATAAATTATAATTAAAATACTTTATTATAATATATTAATATAAATAATATATTATAAAATATTTAATTAATTAATATTAAAATTAAAGTTATTAATAATTATATTAATATTAACTAACTAATTAAATTATAATAAAATTAAAAGTTAAATTTTAATTACTTTAATAATTTAATTAAGTTTATTTTATAATTAAGTTTTAATATTTAAAGGATTTACTATTTTAAATATACTTTATATTTTATAAAAGTACTAAAAGTATAAAAATAAAAGTAATAAAGGATAGAATATTAAGGGAAGGTAAAGAAAAATATATATCTATTAGAATTAAGGTTTTTAAATAGTAAAAGTAATATTTAAGTAAATAAATTACTTCCTTTTTATATATATATTATAATACTTTTAAAATTAATAAATTAATCTTATTAATTACTTAAAATTCCTAACTATCTTTAAATAGCTAATTAAATAAACTAATTAAATAAATTAATTTTACTAAATACTTAAAAATTCCTACCCTAGTAGAAGTATCTTTTTAAAGGTATTTAATTAATATACTCTAAAATTAATATATAATATATAACTAATAGAGGGTAAGCTTAATATATTAAATTTCTATAATAGATAGTTAATATCTCTTTTTTTTTATTAATTTATAACTATTATTAACTACTAATTAGTATTAGAAGGGCTTTACTTTATATAAAGTTTTATAGTGCTAATATAGGTGGATAAGTAGTGGTAATAGTTAGATTTTTAAGAACTAAAAGTACTCTAAAAAGGAGTACTCTAGGTACCTAATATATAGCTAATAAAGCTACATACTAATAAGTATTAAATTTATTATATAATTTAAGTAAGTTAATTAAAATAGGTAAAGATAAAGTTATTATTCTTTTAAAGGTTTTAATTTTACTTTATAAGTAAATATTTATTTATTAACTTTATTATATTATAAGTAAAACTATTTAAAAATAGTCGTTTAGTTTATTATACTATTAAATTAAAAGATAACCTTTAAATAAAGTAATTATACTTTATTACTATATATAATATTTAAGTTTATAGTTCTAATAGCTTTATAAAAAAGAAATAACTATTAATAATTAAATTTATAACTATATAAAGATAGATTTTTACTTTAAAAGAAGTTATTAATATTTAAAATAATTAATATATTTTTAAAAAGTTAAGGGACTATAAGTTTAATTTAAAGAAAATTAAAATTTATAAGAATCTTAAACTTAAGCTTAAAGAGTTTAATTTAATATTTATATTTATAAAAATAAAAGTCTTTATATAGTTTAAAAGGAGGTTTAAATTAAGTTAGAAATTAAATTAAATTATAGTAAAAGAAACTAATTAAATAAAAATTAATTAGAAAATTATAATTATAAATCTTTTAACCTTATATTAAAAAGAGAAAAATTATAATATATTTAATTAATTTAATAAAAATAAATTTAAATAATTATTAAATATATTAATAAAATAAATAATTTATTAAGTTTTATATTATAATATTTATTCAATAAAGATTATTTTAAAATTAATTTAATTTTATTATATAATTACTTTATTAACTTTAATTTTAATATTATAATAAATTAACTCTTAAATTATTTATTTTAATAATATAATATTATTAAAAGTAATACTTTCTAACTTTAATTATATATTTATATATTTTTGTCTATTATTATTAATACTATATTTCTTTAAATACTAAATTTTAAGTATTTACTACTATATAAAGGTACTATATATATTTTATATATATAGGGATTAAAAACGAAACCACCTAGCTACTAGCATGCTACCTCTATGTCACTGCTTGAAATCCCACTCCAACTTAAATTAAGACAGGTAAGCCCGACCGTGAAATCTGTGCGGAAATAAGGATTTTAAGGTAGAATGAACAAGACAATTTTCAAGCCAGTTGGAACTGGGGTCGTTACGAGAGATCACGGTCCTCAAAACGGGCTGTGTGCCAGGTACCTCCACAAAGACACCAGTACCTACCGAGACGTTTACTTGTCTAATGGGATGGTATAATCTTATCATGTCCCGCCAGCATGGCTCTCTACCTGGATTTACCCTGAATCATTCTCTTTCCACTGTCATTGGCACTGTATTTCTTTAAACGCTGGGTCTTGAGCATTTACCACTGTATCAAGGCGCCATGTACATTTTATATGTATGGGGATTAAGAACGAAACCACTACCCTGAATCAAAGCTTGAATTATGTGCGTACATGGGAAGTTCTTTTTAGGCATCTCTGAGACTAGGGTGTCAGCGGATGCTTCGACACTTGCTCGAAGCTGCGTGTCAGGGTGTGCGCACAGCGCTAGATAATCGATGCCAGAACGACGCCAAATCAGGGCGTCCGCGGCACAGAAAAGCAAAACACTCCGTCTTCGTACTTGCATAACTTGCCGCGGTCTGAACCAGAGTTCCCCGCAGTTGGGCACCTGCCTAAAGCAGATCGTTGTCAGTCTACTGTCGCTTTCCAGCGGGGTGAGACACCGGGCGCCGGTCAGCCGTAGACCTCGGGAGAGATCCAAGCCCTGAACAAGGGGAGCCCGGGACAGGTCTGGGCTCTGCGTGCTATCGAAACCTAATGACGCGCCAATATTGAGCCGTCGTGTAGCCTCAGGTGGGGGAAGTGCCATTTAGAATCAGGATGAACAGGTACTAGCACCACTTGGCTGCAATGCAACGGTGTGATCGCGGGGGGCAAGCCGAGAGAATACGCCCAGGAACCGTTGCACCGTAAGTTGCCGATCCGTTGAATTACTACTAACACGACACTGCGCCGCGACTGACGCGGCGCAGCTGACCTGAAGCGTGCAAGCCCATAATGTCATCGATGATGTATACATACACATGTGGCGGTGATGTAGACTGCATATAGCGGTAATTGTAGGCATATATCTGGACCTCTCCCACAGATCTTGCCCAGGATGTTCCAGTCCGACCAGCCGCGTTCACACCAGTTCTGGTTGCTGCACGCACGTCGCCCCGAGTGTTCCGAGCCGCCGTAGAGACGCTCTCTGCCTTCACTTCTCAGGATGTTGTCTTCTCTTTCGACTGTGCTGGCTACAGCATGCTTGATCGTGCAAACTCTGGCGTCTCCAGCCTCTGGAAAAGCATTGTCGCGGAGGCAAGACAACGGCACGCCAGCTGCCCCTATCCCACCTCTCCAAGATCCTTGGTATTCTGCCCCTGACGGCTTCGAGTCTGCGAAACCAGGGGACGTTTTGCGAATCCGTGAGGCACCCGGAAATCTCACATCACTGACCAGCAACTGTTCCTCTGCCTACAACATTCTCTACCGGACTACGAACAGCCAATACAAACCTGACTGGGCGGTCACTACCGTCTTCGTCCCAGTCTCCGCATCTCCTGCTCTTCTCTCATACCAGGTTCCATACGACTCGGCATGGCTGGACGCAAGTCCCAGCTACGCTTTCTACTCCAGCGACGGAGCCAGATATCTCCCTGATATCAGCACAGGGCTGTCATCCGGCTGGTTTGTAAATGTTCCGGACTATGAGGGGCCACTTGCCAGCTTTACAGCGGGGGTCATGTCTGGACATGCTACCATCGATTCAATTCGTGCTGCTTTCAATGCAAACGAAACGCTGGGGCTGGACCCGGATGCTCGATATGCAATGTGGGGATATTCTGGTGGTGCTCTGGCGAGTGAGTGGGCGGCTGAACTGCAAGTTCAGTATGCTCCAGAGGTCAGTCCCAGGCACCCAACTATCCACGACTTTTCTTTGCTGGAGTACGCAGTGTCAGCCGAGCCACGATACTTAGCTCGAAAGTCTCTCGCACAAGGCACCGCCTTGTTTCCAATGCCGTTCAGGATCGTGAAAGCTGTTTTGTAAACTGACTTTTTAACAGATGAACTTCGGCGGTGCTGCGATTGGAGGTTTGACGCCTAATGTAACGAGCGTTCTATATTCTATCAACACGAAGTTAGCGGCTGGACTTGCTCCGGTGAGTATTGCTGTAAAATTTGATTGTTCGATTGGTAGATTCACAGATACGCTGACACACGGTGACATGAGCAGTCGTCGATATTGGGGTTGTCCAGCCAGTATCCAGAGGAAAGAGCGTACCTACTATCGAGGCTGAAGACCGAAGGCCCCTTTAACGCAACAGGATTCCTGGCCGCGCTCAATTGTGCGTATGATATGATCTCACTTGAGCCCTGGTGCTTGTGTTTCATCCAAACAAGACCTGTTGCCTTCTCACCAGATCCAATATCGCTAACTTGTGATTGACATATAGACACTGTAGTTCAGGCAGCTAGAGCATATGCTTTTCAAGATATGGGTGAATATTTCGTTGGTGGCATCACTGACATCACAACGGATTTGGTACTCAGGATCATCAACCGTGACGGCATCATGGGCTATCACGGTGTGCCTGAAATGCCCATTTTCTCTTATAAAGCCGTCGAAGACGAGATCAGTGTTGTCCAAGATACGGACGCATTGATGGAAAAGTATTGCAACAGTAAGACCAACTCATCCCTATTCCATTAGTCCCGCAGGTCAACGCCACGGATCTTGCTGATGATCATCTGCGTAGTCGGAGCCAACATCCTATACCAGCGAAACACTGTCGGCGATCACGGTGATGAGGCTGTGAACGGTCGACCGTCGGCGTTGGCTTGGCTCAGCAGCGTCTTGGGAGGTACATATGCCGAAGACTATTCTGCTTCAGGGTGTACCACTACGACGGTCACCATAGACCTTACAAACACGACGGCCAGCAAGAGAAGTCTCCAGGATGAGCCGATTTGGTTCTGGGTGGATTGAGCCTCGCCAAATTGCAAGTTTGGTTTGTACGCAGTGTAATACAACATCATCCAATATATCATTAGTTACACTTTACACATACAATGTCTTGGATCAACAGTCCGGAAGTTCATGTGGAATTATCAGGAGACAGCAACGCTGTATATAGAACGCCAGCTGGTCTCAATACAACTTATCAATGCGGTTCGGTCAGTGGACACTGTTGCACAGTACCTACTAAGCGAATAGCTCTTCACTGGCTGATTTCTCGTATTTGGAAAGGGCGAGACTTTTACTGCACAATATGGCGTCCACTTTTGGACAGGTTGCAGGCCCGAAGAAGTGCAGTCATCGACTGACTCGAGCACCACGGCCGAAAACCTTGGAACTGAACTCTGTCAGCGTGGCCTCTTTGGCGACCACACAATCGAACGACACCAACAGTTATGCAGATAAGAAAACCACCATACCTAGGCACGCGATAGATACGCACACTTTCCTTCGTGATGGGTGTCCTGAACAACCGCGACTAGAGTGGTTGCGCCTCTTGCAAATTGTGCAGCAACATATCCAGTTTGCATGCTGTACAATAGCGAGTTGTGATGCCCATGTCTTAAAAACGCATGCAAGGCAGAGAGACGAAGCGCGTCCGAGATTACAATGATTAGAGATACCAAGTGGGTGCGCGAGATCGATCAAAGAAAGCGGCGTTCGTGGTCACCAGTATGCCAGAAACGAAGCTGACCGCCTTTGTTCGGCATGGAAAGCGTTACATGCGATCAAAGTGGAATGGGGATAGGGACTGCGAACACAATCTCGAAAACACTGTCCAGATATGTGATCCGTATTGCACAATATCTAGGTAGTAAAGGAAGCACGCAAGAGCTGATTCAGTATATCCTTGTGCTCTTTGTGGGGTACGCTGCGTCAGGCAACTCGACACCCACAGGTCTGAATTAAGCTTCGTACGTAAGTTCATGAGCGATCGAAAGGAACTCAAGCGTTCCGGTATTGGACATGTGCTGATGCATGAGAGATATACAGTAAGAGCAGGGCTCTGAAAACTCTGGTGGTGGGCCCCACGGCCGATTCGTTGTCAACCACAAGGATAGTCTAGGGGATCCGCTGCACTTACACGTCGATATCCTGCGGTGAGAGGGCGCCATTGTTACAGAGTTTCAGAGTCTCCCCTTTTTGGCCGCATACACGACCAGGCAGTCCAGTCCAGGGGCCCATATTATCTACCTAGGTACTGACACGTCAGAATGGCTGAGGAAAGCTGCAGTCGAAATTTTGGTTCCGCATGAACCGTGCTCACCTTGCAGCTCACCCGCTCGCCAACGAACCTCAGCTGCGATGTGGATCTGCAGTGGGGTCCAGAACGGACCCCTAAAATTCCGTTGCGGTGATCTTTTGAAAACACGTAAATAAACTCCAAGGCGCGAGGGAGAAGATCAGGTTCTCTTGACATTGTCCGAACTCATCGTCGGCAAACATGGCGTCAAATACCTTTGCTCTCGTCCGTACTGACACTAGCCTCCCGGAGATACCCTCCATCAAAGACGATGATTCCTTCGCCGAGATCTCTAAGAAGCTAGCGCAGTAAGTTCCCGACATCCTCATGCTTTTGTTCCTGCGGTGAATTATGACGAGGAAGAAGCTGACTGAAATGCCTTAGCTACATTATTGAGGCTGTCGACTCGCCTCTGAGTTGGGAGGACCTGCGTAGCAGCAAGCACCTCCAGCCTCTCCAGCCTCTCATTGACTACCTGGCTACTGAGTGTCACCACAATGCCGTCGTCGCCGCTTTGGTTGCCCTGAAGGGCCACTTCAAGGCACTAGAGTCAGACGATGATGCTGGCGTCAACGAGTCGCGTGGCTTTGCCAGCGAGCTGGTGGCATGGCAATTTGTCCTGACGCTGTCGAAGCAAGATGCTCTGGAGTATTTGTTGTTCGAGCTGCGTGATGACGACGACGACGACGAGTCAGATGACGAAGAGAATGCTCTTTTGACTCGCAGGCATCGGCCAGCGCACATAAATGGGCGGGTTGCAAACCTTGTCAACGGTCACAGCACCAATGGCAATGCAGATGGCGACGCCACCAAGCCTAACAACGGCGAGGGTTTCACTGAGCCTTTCATGAACCTGAACACCCTTGAGATCGCGGCAGTCTCCGGGGCCAAGAAGTTCCTCAGCCAGCGGGCCATCCAGGATATCGTGGATGGAATCTGGTACGGCAAGATTGTCTTCTGGAACAGGCTCAAGGTGAACGCGGTTAAGAAACCACGGTTTCACCATAAGAGGACCGAGGACTATTGGTGCCGCCTGCGAGTACCCCGCTACATGAAGATTTTCGAGATCGGCTTCTTCGTCTGCTGGCTGGGACTATTCTACATCGTGTGTTTGGAGAGAGTCAAGGGGTACGTCACCGGGTGGGAGGTTCTCTTCTACATCTTCACCCTGGGATTCGTCTTCGACGAGCTTGATGACTTCATGGAGTCCGGTATCTACTTCTACGCCACGGACATCTGGTCTATGTGGGATATCGGTATCGCGCTGATCGGCATTGTCTTCTTTGTGTTGCGCATGATCGGCCTGAGCAATGGCAGCGACAAGACATTGGAGTGGGCGTTCAACATCTTGGCGCTCCACTCTCTGCTTCTGATCCCACGCATCTTCTCCCTGGTCAGCCTGAGCCCTTACTACGGCTGTCTGTTGCCATGCTTGAAGGAGATGGGCAAGCAGTTCATTCGATTCCTGGGCTTCACACTCATCATCTATCTCGGATTTTTCACCACCTTCATCATGCTTGCTATGGGTCATTACCCGCTGGACTCGCTTTCCATCACAATCCTCAAGTGCTTCTTTGGCGCTGGTGTGCAGGGCTTCGATATCGCTCAAAAGGTCTCGCCATACCTTGGACTACCTGTCATGGTCATCTTTGTCGTCTTGACCAATCAGCTTCTGATCACCTCTATGATGGCACATATCAGCAACAGTCTGCGCCAAGTGCTCGAATCATCCCGCGAGGAGTACCTTTTCGTCTATTCAGTCTATGTCCTGGAGGCTGTGACTTCAGATAAGATGACTTACTTCCAAGCACCATTGGTGAGTGTCACTCTACCCAAGAATTTTGAGTGAATTTTGATACTAATCTTCTGCAGAACCTGATCCCAGTAGTCTTGTTGAGGCCGCTGCTATATATTGTTCCCGATACCACGGCCGATCAGATTCGCATCATGCTTCTCAAGGGAACCCACTCTCCTTTCCTCGGCGCTATCTGGCTGTGGGAGCACTGGGAAGCCCTTGCTCTGAAGCGCGAGGAAGAGGAACGTGTGGCGATGGGTCTGGACCTCGATGTGACCGACAACAACACCGCCTCTACCAGCAGCACCAACCAACCCAAGCCCATCAAGGGCAAGACGAACACTCTTTCTTCTAGCAAGAAGCACAGCCTCACCAAGACCGGCAAGGTTAAGATCCCCGCAGCGCTGCTTGCCTCCGCATCCAAGAGACCATCCAAGAAGAGTGGAGTCTCACCAGACACCGCCGGCCGTGTCAATGTGCCTTCTACGACCTTGACCAACGGAAGTGCGCCTGCTCCACCGCCACCACCTGCTCCACCTGCACCTGCACCTGCACCTGCACCTGCACCTGCTCCTGCGCCCGCTTCAGGGCCTGAGCCTACGGCAGGCCAAGCCGTGTTGGCAGGCGGCTCGGCTGATATTGTCGAGATGATGCGCATGTTGAAGGAGTTGAGTGTCCAGGTTGAGGAAGTCAGAGCGGCTCTGGTTAAGCACGACCAGGGTCCTGAGATTCAGTAGAGAGTTGATAATCAATGACATCCAGTGGTGGTTAACTGGTGCTCACCTATTCTCGAGGAAAGTGGGAATGGGGGCACATTGTTTTCTACACTACCTAGTAGGGTAGTATCAATGATAGTAAGGCACTTCCAAGTGCTGACCAAAGTGGATCGATCCTGTTGATCGCCAAGCCCGAATGCAGCGTTGGCAATTTCAGTCTTATCTTGCAATATCCGCTTTTCTATGCAAATCGTCTTGATACCAAGAATCTTCGCGTGCGTTGGGTTCTAGGGAATGGTTTTCTTGACCGCACAGTCTGCTGTGATGGTCGTCATGGTACCTAGTTAGGTATCTCAATGTGGCATGTGACTACGCGCACGTTGGCTCCGCGAAGACTCAAAGGGCTACATAAAACATACCAGGCTTTCAGATATCTGGGCTTAAGACAGATCATCTTGAAGTCAAGTCTGCATCTAAGACCCGCCTACATGTGGGTTATGCTGCGCCGGTCGGACCACTTAAAAACGCACAGGACGTTCTTGTCAGACTCCATCGAGATCGCCAACGGGTCAGCTTACGGGGACCGACGCCTAGCCGTCGTGTGTAACATCGCGATGAGGGGCAACCTGACGCATGCAGGGCATGGCGACAACTCGCTTCGACCTGAGAGGCTGCACTCACAACTGCCGCGGACTGTGAACAGGCATGATCGACAAGTTGGATATCGCCTCGCTTAAATGCCACTATGGGTACCATTTTACGAGCACTGTATCCGCATTCCGGTATATAATAAAACTTTCAAATCGATGCCGACCATTATACTTGTCCTCGGTGGTTCTCTGCTATTTATCAGCTTACGACTACGAACGCCAAGAGGAAACCCCTGGTCCATCTAGTCACCAGCCAGGGCGAGCGCCAGGCACATTTCGTCATGAACCTATTCCAAGCCGGTATCGCGTTGGCATTATTGCTCGCATTCTGGTATCTAAGTACAGCTGTGCGCTCATGGTATCGCCTTCGACACATTCCGGGACCCTTCCTGGCCAAGTTCTCATACCTGTTCCTCGCCTATGTCCAACAGAGCGGCCGCCAGTACTACATATTTCGCGATGAGTACACCAGGTACGGGCCCCTCGTCCGTGTCGGGCCCAACGAGCTGTCCACAAGTGATCCGAATGTCCTGCGCAAGATGACGTCCGCGAGGGCCCAGTACACAAGGGACGCCTGGTACACGGGCGGCCGCTGGAACTCGTACGCGCACAATATGTTTACGACGACGGACACCAAGGCCCACGATAACATCAAGTCCAAGATGGCGATCGGGTACGGAGACAAGAACTCGGCGCTGGAACCGGGAGTCGATGAGCAGGTCACGACGTTCGTGCGGCTGATCAGGGACGGGTACCTGAACGGCACGAGGCTGCTTGATTTTGGGACGCTGACGTCCTATTTTACAATGGACGTCATCACAAAGGCTGGGTTTGGCGAGGCATTTGGGTACTTGGAGAAGGAGGAAGATCTGTTTGATTTCCTGGCCGGCGTCCGGGACAACTGGCAGTTCATGGGCATTACGCTGGATGTGCCTTGGCTGAGGGAGATCTTCTATTCTCCCTTCCTGCTGAAGCTCATTGGCCCGAAAATGACCGACGAGAAAGGTCTTGGTAGGCTCATGAAGTAAGTGCATCTGCCTCTCTGTGTGTTCTTGCCGTGTTGACAATCGGGTTTAGAGTCGGCCACGATGTTATTAAAAAGAGGTTAGCAAAAGAGAAGGGCACACAAGCCGACGACATGCTGGTATGCAAAAGCCCCTTTTAATAACATGCTCAAGTGTGGACTCGAGCCGCCAATATCAGCAGCAGTTTTGTAACCGACCACTCCGTGTAGGGTTCTTTTCTAGCTCACGGCTTGACCCCAGAGCAGTGCGAGAATGAGGCCCTGTTCATGATCGTTGCTGGCTCGGAGACCACAGCCTCTGTAATTCGCGTGACTGTGCTGCACATCATGTCGGCACCCAGAGTATACAACCAGCTCAAGCAAGAGATCAGAGAAGCTCTGGAAGACGGCAGAGTCACCCACCAGCCCATCGCAATGGAAGAATCAAAGCGCTTGCCGTTCCTCCAGGCCGTCATATACGAGGGATTGCGCATGCGTTCACCAGCGCCGGGGTTATACGCCAAAGTCGTGCCAGCTGGGGGTGACACCCTCTGCGGCAAGTTTGTGCCCGAGGGAACGGCAATCGGCATGAACACATCGGCCGTGCTGGCCGACACAAGCCTGTTCGGGGAGGATGCCAGCCTCTTCCGGCCGGAAAGATTCCTCGAGGTCGACGATGCCAGGAGGGCCGAGATGCAGCGCGACGTGGAGCTGGTATTTGGCACTGGACGCTGGATGTGTGCCGGCGAGGCGGTCGCGTTCATGGAGCTCAACAAGATCCTATTCGAGGTAGGCATCGCGATGTACACGCACCGCTCGACGGGGAACACCACGCAGTGTGCTCGCCTAACGCAATGCTAACATCTTCGACAGCTCTTCCGCAACTTTGACTTGCAACTTGCTCACCCGATGAAACCGTGGCATTCTCTGAGTTGGTCTGTCTGGGTTGACGAGAATATGCATTTGAAAGCCACAGAAGCCAAGTAGCCACATTACACGCGGTAGTGGCGGGACGCATGGATTTTGGCAGGATCGACCCTCGACCGCGAGTGGACACCTGGACTGAGGCCATGGGCATTTGAAGAAACATGGTGAGTATTGGCTACGTCTTAGAATTATTGGAGTCAACAAGCAGAATGAGGATTCTAATCTCTAAAGCATACAAAGTCGTGGCGGCTGCTCAGGATACATTGGATTCTTTCTTTGAATTTTCATAGCCGTGAGCTGCAATTTAGTATTAGTTCGATTTTAAGTCTGTCACCGAGCCAGATTTTCAGATGAGAATTTGAGAGAAGATCAAGAGAAGGCCCGGGTTGCGCAGATTTATGGTATCAATTGATTCTATATATTCAAAGATTATGAGAGTGGCAGCAATGGCCGAGGTCGGTTCATAGGAGCCCACACCGTCAAAAGACCCTGTGACTTTTAGTCGTCCTCGGTGACGGAGACATGGTCGCTGACATCTTACGTTTTCCCGGCGTCGATTTCGTGCCATTGGAACGATCAAGCCCATCATCCCGTGCAGTATCGTCTTCAGTATCGGCCGACTCATCTCCCACCTCGTCACTGCCGTTATCATCCCAATCCGACTGTGTGTTTCCAATCAGCGCCCTGCGCGAGATCTCAGCCACGAGGTCCCTGTAGCTCCCATCCTCTTCGTCGTCTTCCGGCTCGTTCTTGATTGGCCGGTCAGCGATCGCCGATGTACCGCCGCGTGCCCCAGGGCCTGCCCGCGTCCAAACGGGGTTGTTGTCGTCCAGACCGTTAACTTCCCAGCCAGCCTGAAACGGCACGGCGTACTGCGGTTTCCAAGAAGGATCATTCATGTTGGGCGCCTCGGAGAAGGTATTTGCGTTAAGGTGTATGGTCGCCCCGCCGCCAGGAGGTGGGAGGGCGGCAACAGCCTGGGCCAGCTTGCCCGATGGGTTGAGCCCTGCCTCCAGGTCGTCGGCGACCTCCCACCAGGTGCCCTCATCGTCACGCAGCTGGCTCCTCATACCGCGCGCTCTGGTCAGCTGGCGCAGCTCCTGTATTATGTACGGCAGCCGTGCGCGGGTGTGTAGTATGGCTGACAGGACCGGCGGACGGGACTCGTGGAGACAGTGAACATCGGGAAGCCTGTGCCGGCTGACATACGCCGGCTTCACCCGGCGGAGCTGGGCCTCCAGGTCCTGGATCCGCAGCTTGACCGCGTTCAGCTGTTGTGCAGCCTCCGCGACGATACTAATTTGCAGGTTCATCGGCATCCTCCTGAGAAATTTGATATTCTCGGTGAAAGCATTTGAGTCACCGGGAGGCGAGAAGTTATGTTTCCGCTGCAGGTGTGATGTCAGCTGGCCGTGGACGAGATTGTCCTGGAGTTGGCCGCACCCAGGCCACCAGCAAGGACAGCTGCGGAGCGGAACACCGACAGCTGCCAGCTCTGCTGGGTGGTGTCTCCTCTTGTGTCGTAAGATTGAATTCTGTGAGAGTTGGATACCACAGAATACACATGTGGCAACCGCATTCCGACCCTCAGTTTCGTTCAGGGTCGACCGCCGCCGCCCACGACGTTGTCCGGGCAATGTAGCCCTCCTCTCAGAGGCTGGATCCGGCGTCGGTTCCCGACGAATGGACGAATTCCAAACATCGGAAGGAGCAGTAGCTACTGATGATCTGGCTGGTGGGCTTACATGGCTGGAGTCTGAGCCTCTGCTGGAGTAATGCCGAGAATGCTGTGCTGGTGCTTTTGTCGTTGACGCACTCTCGGGCAAGCGGTGTCGCAAAGGCTGATCAGACTCGGCTGTCTCTCCCAGAATGTTTTCCAAGATTTGCCTTAACTGGCTTTCTTGTTCTCCTATCTCCCCCAGACAGGCTCGAACCCGCTCCTTCTCTGCTTCCTGGCCTCTGGCGAAGGCAAAAGCGATCTCACTGTTCATGAGCCGACGCTGACCAGCGGCAAATCCCTGGGCATAAGCTCCCTCGATATCAGCTGGGTCTACCTGGCGCCTGGAAGCCTCTGCTCGGGCACCCGCTTCGAGCCCGGCCGAGAAGCCCGATTCGTAGGCACCGCCCAGGAGTTGCTGCCGCTTTGCAGTATCCAGCTCGTCGTCGCCATCCGCCCGATCATGTTTCTCACCGGCAGGTTGCGGGCGCTTTTCTGAACTGCAGACTCATAAGTGAACAAGCCATGTAGGGAAGTATTTGGCAACAGACCTGGATTTGGTCTCTGGCAATGCATGCTTCACAAGGTAGAGCATCTTCCTATAGAGCATCAAAGGCAAGGGGTCTTCGCGTCTAGGCTCAGAAACAAGAGTTAGACCAGTGTCAATGAGACAGAACTGGTTCAAGGATCAGACTCACTCTTCAGGGGTATGTGGGCCGTAGATGAGGACCCGAACGGCCGCCGAGGCAGCAAGATCGATGAAATCGTCGTAGTGCCCGGGAGGCTGCTCCTTCCGGCGCCTCACATCTCTCGCAAAGGCTTCTATCAAATGATGATCAGGAGAAATCTGACTGATTAATGTTAGTATTTACATAATTCAACACAGGCTCTTGTCTATGAGATGGATACAGAATAGTGAAAATGGGGGGTTGGGCTGCAGGAGAGGCTTCAGGATGGGATATTTGGGAACATACGCCACTGGCACGCGGTGACCTTGACTCTCCCCACCAGCCAATATTTGCAGGAATGCATTTCCAACAGCATCCTCCACAGACCTATGTGATTAATCAGTCAACAAGAGTGGGCGGGACACGGTCATTGTGTGGGAAGTGATCCATATGTTGGCCCCGGTTTCCTTACATTGATTTTTGGCCGTTGCCGTTTGATATCAGAGATGCATCTCTGCCAGCCTGGTTCTGCATCGTGTGCACAGCTATCATCATGAGAGAGCCAGTGATCCATACAGGAGGCAAGGAGAGGCCGGTCAGATCTCAGAGGCAGTCCAGCACCGCTGCAGGCTTCCTCGGGTGATCGTTTGGTGTCTGAAAAGAGCCCTGGCACGAGCGAAGCACAAAGCTGGGCGCCCCACCTCCCTTGACAAGCTCGGGATTCCAGTGCTTGATCCCAGCCACAGGTGGTGGTCGTGCCGGTGGGGTACCTGTCTTACCACTGCAGGGACCTGGGCACCTGGGTACTTCGGTACAGATTACTTACCTTGGTATTAAGCACTAGAATCTGGACAGGCTTCTGTTCCAACTCATCCACTATCATTTGCCAATGCACAGCACGCCTGTCAACCAGGCCTAAAAGCTGTGGCAAGGGCTATTAACACCACCAGTCATCTACCTAGGTATCTATCTGGGTTACTCATACAGGAACGTGGGTCACCACCCACTTCCGGCCTCGACCTCTTCCGACAGAAACCTCCTAAGACCATCATTTCGTACAGCAGACATGTGCAAGCCCCTTGGAACTCCTTGGAAATCCTCCATAAAATTGCAGCAATAACGGTGAAAACAACAGGGCCATGGCCCATTACTGCGGCCTGGAGTCCTTGATGTGCAAGTTCTTGGTCCACCGCGGCAGTTTCCTATCCCGCTCATACATGAAACCGCAGTTATTGCACAGAGTCTGTTGGCTACCGTTAGCAAATATTCCAAGCAACACTGCGCGGCAAGTGGGAGAACTCACTCTTGGTCCATGGGGCCCATCGCGGACAGCCCAGACACTGCTGCCCCATACCCTACAGTGGTAGCACCTCCACGTGAACCGCTCCTGTTCCGTCAATGTGCCGCCGCCGCCATAGCCGCCGCCGCCGCCGCCACCACCACCAACGTCGGGTGTGAACCGGCCTCCTGGCGTGCTGGCCCTTCCCAGGGGCGACAGGCTCCTGAACCGCCTTTTCTTCTTGCTCCGCTCACCGCGGCCCATGCGCTCCTCCTCCTGCTCGATCAGGCCCGTGAACCCGAAGCCGGCGGGCACGCCGCCCATCATGCCCGTGTTGCTCGAGAACCGCGCCGTCTCGCGCCGCAGCCGCCGAATCTGCCTCTGGCTGTCGCCCTCTCGCTTCTCGATCTCCTCCTTCGACAGGGTCTCTATCTTGGGCTCCCATTCGTCCGCGAGGTGCTCCGGGTCATATCGCCATCCGGCTCGCTCCCCTTGCGCTGTTATCGCTGCGTCGTTGGGGAAGTCGCCGCCATTCAGGGGGCTCGCGCCCACCCAGCCCGATATCACGCCACCAGACTCGCATGCTTCTTTCTTCAGGCGCAGAGTGGCCTCGTAGATCGCATGTGTCATCGCTGGGACCCACTCGCCGGTCAGGCCGAGGTCGGCGCAAGTCTGCTTCGAGAAGGCCTCGGCTGTGCCCGCAGGGTGAAGGAGCGACCATTCGAACTTATCCGTGTACAGCTGGTTGCCGAGGTTGATGCTCAGGTTGATGATACAGCGGTACGTGTCTTCGGGGTTGAGGTCGTCTGAGTCGGCTGTGACGTGTTCTGCGGTCGCGGTGACCTCGGCTGGAGTGTCCTGTGCTGGGCCTCCGGTGGCGCCAAGTATTGGTGTCGATGTTCCGAGGGCAGACGGGGTCGCGGGGAGGTGGGAGAGGCCGCCTCGAGCGGGCGTGTCAGAGCCTTTGAGGAGGGGAGTCGGTGGTATGCTCGTGCCATTCTGCCGTGGGGCCGATTCACTGCCATTTGCATGTGAGTGGAAGAGAGGATGCAGCGCCACGCCGGCATATTCCTCGAGCTGGGTCCTGATCTGCTTGCTGATCTCGGCAATGGTCTGGTTCCTGTGAGGCAGGTCAAGGTCCTGGACGAGAGTCGCCGCAAACTGGTCGGTGGTGACCAATGTCTCGTGCAGGTTCCACAAGAACGTGTCCCGGAGCTTGTACGGTATGGTCATCTCGCCCTGCTTGTACTGGGGCGCGGTGTAGTCGATGCCCGGCATGTTGGGGGCTGGTATTGGGTGGGCGGGCAGAGGCACGAAGGCTGGGATGTCGAGGTCGATACGGATGGGAATGAGGGTGAGCGGGAGGCAGGATTGCGCATAGTTCTGCATATCGGAGAGGCCCTGCTTCGACTTGTTCATCCAGTCCCGGTATATGCCCTGCACCTCGACGGGCTCGAAGATCTCCTTGTCGAACTTGTCGCCCGGGTCGACCTGTGCGCCGCTGTCTTCGCGGCGCAGACTGCGCAGCCCGGTCGGTCGCCGTCGCGAGTTGTCATCGTCGGAAACGTCATAGTCGTAGCCGTCTTCCGCGTAGTTGATGATGGTGGTGCCTCGTTTTGTGGTCCGCGACAGAGGGCCGGATGGTTGCGAGGACTGCAGAGCAGGTGTGAGCAGGGAGTTTCTGTAGGCTCGTAATCGAGGCGCGTAGGTGGAGAAGAAAGCCTGAGGCTCCTCTCTTGCCGAATTTGAGGACATTGCAGCAACTTGTTGTGTAGACCGTTATCGCATATGGGCTGCAACAAGCACAGGCGCCGCCACAAAGGGAGGAGGTCGAGGGCGAGGGCGACGAGGTCCCAGAACTGGTGGGCTTGAGGGTCAGTCAGGCTGGGCCCGGCGGCGGGGCTGCAGTGCAATGCAGTGCAATCCAACGGCACCAGATGTGGGGTTAGACAGTCCGACTGGGACCAGCAGAGGCGTGGCAGGAGAGGTGGTGGCAGGCGACAATGACGAGGGGTGGAATGGATGCGAAATGATGGATTGTTTGCTTGCAGCAGTTTTTTTGCTATCGCGTCCTTGACAAGCTGAATCGCGCTCCAGCCAGCAAGCTGCTGCCGCTGCTCCTGCAAGAGCCTCCCCAGCCTAGCCGCGGGGACTAGCACACGCACGGGCCACCTGCTCCCGTTACCCGGTACCTGAAGTCCTCAAGCGATAGATAATGTACACAAGTACTTGGACTCACTCTGCGGTCACTCCACCGGTCACTTATTAGTACTTAATTAAGTATCTACAACACTCTTCAAGTGGCAGAACTGGCATCAAACTGGTCTAGAATAGCTAATTTACAGGATCTTATTTGGTCGACCAAGTGTCCTGCGCATGCATATCCTGGCCACTCTGTCCTCAAGGAATGACTTGAACCTCGACCCAGCTGCCGGGGCTCGTCAGCCCTTCAGATGCCTTGAGTCCACCGTTACAGCTCCATCTCAACCTCGGGCACAGACTCTTGGGATTTACCTGCTTCTTGGTTAGTGACACGTCTCTTTGTCCCAGGCATCCTAGCCAGTTGTACCCTTGGCCTGCTTCCACTCCTCCACCCACGCCTTTACGAATTCGACCTCCTGGGCCTGGGCCTCTTTGACAGGGGCAGGAGGCAGGTCGGCTGTGGTCTGGTTTGGGAACAGCCCGTTCTCATCCCAGTGGTGCACTCCGTCTTCGATCAGGATGAACGGCTCGCTTATTGTGGAGACCCTATCCGGGAGGCCGATAGCGTGGGGTGTAGACTGTCGCCAGGGGTCCTTTTCGCCGTCGATGATGGCCAGCCGTGGGTATGAAATATTGAAACCGCCCCACTGGTTGATCCGCTCCACCTGCGAGGGTGTGGTGATGTTGAACGCCTCTTTGCAGATGACCGAAGAGTAGTCCAGATCGATCAGGCGGGAGACCAGAGGGAGCTGGTCTGCCGGAACGCCAGACCCGGTCTGGAGGTAACCCCACTCAAAACAGTACTGCCAGGGCCACGCCCGCCATGTCTGTCCAATATCGTCCTGCTTGTAGAACTCGGAGTCATAGTTTGTCACACACTCGTCCTGAGTTGACCCACGAGACGCACAGCTCGCAACCACAGTACGGTTGACGTAGCCGATGTAGTTGAGGAACCGGTTGGTGAGCGCGTCGACCTCGTCCTCGTAGCCTCCGGCCTTTAGTATCTCGACAGCCTCGGCCTTCCTCGCCACTGTGGCGTTGTAGATGATTGCATCGCTGGACACGGTATCGCAATACACACCAAACCTAGTGCTGTTGATGGCCGGGTCCCAGTTGGTGCCTTGCAGACCGCCAATCCCGCCCGAGATTGAGCCAGCAAAGTCGTCGTCCCGGGTGACATTGCCCAGCCCGAAGACGTCCTTGAGCCTCTGCACCCATTCGGTACCATTCTGGCCGATCAGGATGTTGTCGACGACATTGGTCAGCTTTTGCGTCGTGGTGGCACAGTCGCCTGGTGCGTATAGCCTCGCGGCTTCGTAGTATGCCCAGTAGTCGTAGATGGCCTCTGTGACACCGGAGCTTGAAATGGCACCCCAGTAGACGTCCGGGTAGAGCTTGCGGAGGAAGGCGACAAAAGCTCCAGCATACGAGCCTCCATATGCGATGTACGGAGCGCTGGCTGAAGTGAGATCGACATCCTCAAGCCCTGGGAACTTGACGTTCTGGGCAAAGTAGGCCATGTCCGCCAGGGCTTGGTCGGTTGTGAGGAAGCGCAGGCTCTCGATGCTGAGGTCGGAGACAGGGAAACTTGTGCCATAGTAACGGTGTTCCAGGATGACTCCTAAGCCACCTGTGGCTTGCGAAAGAATAGACACGATGCCCTTTTGGAGGAAGGGCAGGCGGCCAACACCAGAGGTTTCGCCGCTCTGCAGAACAATGACGGGCCCGCCGGGTTGATAGTGGCTCGCATCGAACCAGTACCTCAGATTGAAGGTGTCATTGGTCTGGGGCGAGGCAGGTCAGCAACTTGCAAGGCGGACATGTTGGGGTAGGTTGACATGAGACTCACATGGGGCTCATATAAAGTGTCGTTGTGGAAGTGGTCGATAGGCACGGACAGGTTGTGGGCCGGGTAGAGCAGGCTGGGGTTGGTGTCGGCAGCAACGGCGGCCTGCCGAGCAGTCTGGACGCTGGTGTACTCGCCCTGCAGAGAAGCCTCGCGTGCTACGATGCTTCTGAGCTCGCTGACCGTGAAGGAGGTCCGGAGACAGTCGGCACCGGTTGCAAGGGCCAGTGTCCCGCAAAGCACGGCCTTGGTACTCGTCTTGGCTACCATCTTGGCGGGTTCGAAGACGGGGAGGCAGACAGGCAGAATGTTCAATGTCCAATGTCCAATGTCCACGGCCGTGGGAAGACGCACCAGGTGTTGATATAGCTCGATGGTGAGGGGAGCCAAGAAGGGGGGTAGGAAGACTTACCGAGTCTCTGACGCTGCTGCAGGCGTACGAGGCGAGGGGACGAGTTCCGAGACCTGCAGTGGTGGTAGTGGTGGTAGTAGTGGTGGTGGCGGCGGTGGTGGTGGTGGGCGGCAGACTCGCAGACTCGCAGCAGTGATTACACGGTACAGCAGCGTGGAGGACGGTAGCGGTGGCTCCTGCTGCTACCTCGCGATCGAACTCAAGGCAACCACGGAAAGCATATCACAACCCTGGAAGCTACACTACAGCACCCGTCACGCACAGAGAGGGCAGGATGTGCAGGCAAGCAGCGGTAAGATAGGCCGGTGGTGGCCGCTGCCCCTCGGCAGAATCCCTGACGTTGGGTCGCTGACGTTGTCGAGTCGCCGAGTCGGTGCACCGCGTCGATATCGTGCTCGCGCCTATGCTCGATACGGCAGGTGAGTCCCACGGCGGCCCACCTGCGCTAACGGTTGCCCGACCTGCCAGCTGCCCGCCCGAGCAGCCCGAGCAGCTTCATCACCAGGGCCATCCTTAGCTCCAGGAACAGGCCTACAAGCCAGCCAGCCAGCCAGCCAGCCAGCCAGGTACCTGCTGACAATGGAAAATCACGCACGGGCAGTTAACGGCACCCCTGGCACATATACCTACCCCTGCCCGTTGGGTGCTGTCTAAAAACAGACCTCGATCAATGCATGAGCAGAGCGCCGTTGCGAGCGCCGTGCAAGCGACACCCCAGCTGGCTAGATCAACGCACCGGATTTTCCAAAGGCGACCCCGAAGCTACAGCACATACGAGCATGTCGGTGGCTCAGTATGGATCAGCCACGCAGGATACAGTAATAACCGCCGCAGCCCCGTGGTGTTCCGCACTGCACTGCATGGTGGCAGCGACGACGAGAACCTTGGAGCACCTGGCGAGCGCCCCAAGGGCAATTTGATGCAGTCATCAATGTGTCCTTCATGCCCGTGTCGCAGGGAAATGGCAAAAGTCGACTGCCACTAGACTTCGCTGATCCAGAAAAAGGAACTCGCCAACACCTCCGACGACGACGACCATGGCTCCATCTCTTGGGGATGGCAAAGCGGCGGAGAATTATGAGCTCGAATTCATGCGGTTTGCTCTTTAGGTGACAAGGATCATGTGGCTCACAGTGCACGGCTCAGCATCAGCCAGACCAACAATACCTAGGTACCTAGGTAGGTAGATAGAAGAATGGAGTTGCAACACATGCAGCATACACTCAGGAATATACCGCGACCGTCAAATTCCAATAAGCGACTTCTCGGTGCCAAACAGGGCAAAGGGCACCGGGTAGCCGCTGCCACCCCGTGCGTCTGTGCGCATACATTCTACGCTCAGGCACCGCAATCTATTTGGCTGTCAAATGTTGGCAGGGTACGAAAGCAACCCCTGCCAAGGATTCTGGCGCCGAGTCTCTGTACCCTCACTGTTCTAATGCGAGATGGGTCGGTCAACTCAGGAAGCAGTCGTACTGGATCTCAAACTAATCTTCTTTCTCATATGGGTGACCTCCCACAAGATAGTAAGAGGGAGCTTTCCCGTCATGTCTTGATTGGCAAAAACACACAACATGGTGAAAGAGCGGCTTCTCAATGGACCGTTTCCGCTTCATCCTCTGAGCCTTATGTTGAAATAGGGAGCGAAAATATGTATTGACATTCTCTCGTGCACTTCAATTTAGCAATAGCAGGTGGCAGATGGCAATCATGTTTGGTAGTCCAGATGCCTATCAACCTGTGGACGAGAGACTTTATAGAGATTAGTTAATATTAAGTGGCACTCTCAGGTTGCACACCCGCTCTTTCGATCCCAATTGAAAACCTTTGATACAAGACAACACTTTTTGAATATATGAATTTTGAAGTGAGCTTTGGCGAGACTTTTGTCTAAAACTTGCACTGATTGTCCGAATGACTGCTCGCATTCTCACTAAGGCATGCCTCAAGGGCTCCTGTGCCTTTTGGCATCATGCCATCCACGGATCATAGCTGAGCCTCTCTGCAAAATGATCTTGTCAACATTTAATTCAGACCTTCTAACGTCGAGTTCAATGTATACTATCTGTCACAAATTTGTTACCTGTGCTGCAATACTAGTCCGCACTTCGCGTCCCGAGCCGGAATTTATATCCCATTCCCCCTTGAAACTTTGCTTCTATATGTTTGATGGCAACATTTTGACGGTAGTGCACCACATATTCGAGAACGTCTTAGTGGCTGAAACGTCAAGAGTCTGTCGCCAAAGTAGCTTTTCGGACCGTCAGAGAGGAGCTTGAAGAATTTTCCGAGATTGCATAAGAAATTCTCAGCCCCCTCTCCTGTTAGTCCGTGGCATCCCAGTATCTGATGCGTAGATCAAAGACGCCAAAGCAGGGGTGAAGTATAATCCGCGGTGCCGTCATGCTAGTTGGTCTACGCTGCCAGCGCTCAGACACTCGGTCCCAAGATGGCTGTACCATTTCTCATTGCAACGCTCAAGGAACGCATGTTTACGTTTCTAAATGTATCCAACGGGACGAACAGGCCAGGAAGAGAAGGCGATGGGCAGCGTCGAATATATGCCTTAGATTCTATATATTAAGGTTCGCGGCTAAGATGGCTAGAGTGACTGCTTGGTCTATAAAAGCCAGTATTATCAACCGCCAACGTCGTCTCATATCCCTGACATAACCAACCCTCCTTTCTCGCACTTCCAATTCTGGATTGCGATTGCATCTCATTGGCTGCTATATATTGTGGGCTTCGTGGAGGGCCAATCGCGCTGCGCTTGAAGCCCTCAATCCTAGTCAGATAGTATGAGAGCCCAGCCTTCTCTGATCTACTTGGGACGGGATGGTCTTCATGTCATTGATTAACATACTTAGATCAGATCATGTTCGGAGGCATATTACAGTGGGCCATGTAACATATTCGGCACCAAATGTCGGGGGAAGTAGGCTGGACTGTGCCCAAGCGGTAGGCGCCGTTTCCTGATCTGGGTGAATTATTTCGAACATGTTTGCTCCATGGGGGGCCACCCGAAACCAAGATTCCTTCATCCTCTATTCCGTTCATTGGGGCTGCTGAGCCATGAGGAAATCGACAAACCCCTGAATGCTTGTCTGCAAGTTAAAGCATCTTTCAGATCGACCCTCATCGCGCTGGAAACACTTCCATCTATCCCCACGTGCGCCTGTTATGGCCGATGTTGCCACTTGATCACATGCGCACTCGGGTCAACTGCCACCGTGAGTACGCGCTCGTCAGTTAGCTGTGTTCATGACTCTCAACCGGAATTGGAGACTTGCAGCGCTGAAACCAGCTGAGCCGACCTCTGGAATTCCTGGCAACACGAAACTCGGCAATCAACATGGAACCCATCTGATCTATGGATCTAGAGTTTCTGCCGGCAGACATTCTGCACATAACTACTTCAGCCCCTCTTCGGTTGATCTACTATCGATCGACCAGTCGATCCTGGCTGTGCTGTATATTCATCGTCAATATAGAGGAAACTTCGTCCAGAGCTTGGGATTGCTGCTGCCATTGGTCCAGGTCACAAAAAGATCTTGGCGTGGGGCTCTGTTCCACGCGACGGGGGGGCTGAATGAGCCGCAAGCGGCTAGGGCTGTTCCACGCGACAGACTTCATGCCATGTCGTGTACTGTAAGAGTCATGAACCTTGCATGCGAGGCTCAATTTAAAGCCCCTGCATCCTGCCTGTCCCTGTGTCACCCCACCGTCAACGGCCTGAGGGCTGAGTCCCTTTGCTGCGACGGCAAGCGGGTCCCCCGGGAGCTCTACCTAGGTGTCTACATAGTAGATCACCGCGCGCTTGATCCAGACGTCTGAACCGTGAAGCGCCAGCGCCTCCCATTGAAGTCCGACAGAAATGCACGCCTGCCAAGCTTGGAACAGGAGGACCGCAGACCCGGAATGTAGAGAAATCACCGCCGTCTCGACTCTTAGAAGAAGTCCTGGGCTGGAAAATACCACATCACTTATTACAAGCTGCTGCCAAGCGCGGCCTCGCCGCCTCCAGGCCCTATTCGGCAACATATCTAGAACTTTTTAGGCTCAACCACCGTACGAAGACGCCATATATGTCCTCAGACGCATGCGGAATAGAGGCGAAACCAGTTAGGCTCAACGTCCCGCCGGCCTGTTCCGCAAGTCTCGTGCTCGGTGTCCGTCCTCGCTTGGAGATGAACTGCCCGTTGTGGAGGGTACCCTGTCACGTCGACACATGGCTGACTCGACACCTCCTACACTCCCCGTTCCCCCATTCCCTGCCTATGAAACTATCTTCCCTTCTTCCCGGGCCCAGGCCCTTGCTTGCCTTGCCTCTGTGGTGTCGATCTCTTTCCCAGGCTGGTCCAAATCGCTAACACCTTTCGATCTTTCTTCTTCTCCGCTGGTCAACCCACGATCATTACATTCGCGACTCTCACTACTGTCCGGCGGCGCGCGCTGGGTGCGCTTTACTCTCAAACCCACCCTCAGTCACTCCTTTGTCGAATCGCCCGCAACTTGCTATTGCCCATGGCTTGAGGCAACCGCCCTGCACCTACGAATTATGAAATATTGCAGCAACTTGGTTTGAACACGGACCAAGACGAAGTATCATTCTCCTCCGATCGCGCCGTCTATCGACGAAAGTTCGCCGCGATCAGGGACACGATGGAGGGTGACGCTGCCAGGTATGGTTCCGACCCGAGGAACCAGACCAAGAATCCGGATATTTTTATAGTGGACGAGATCGCCGGGACGACGCACTGGGACCTGAACATGACCCCAACGGAGACCAATGCGCTGAGAGGGCACAGTGCCGACACAAATGCGGAAATGGAGACGAGGTGGGTGGAGGGGACCACAGTAATTCACGGCGCACAACCAACAAATTCGACAATCGATATCGACCCTCCGAGACCCGCAGTCGTGACGAACAACGACTACAGCGACCTGCCCGAGGTAGTGGAGGCCATACCGCCGTTATGGGATCTCGCCGACGACAAGATGCCCGTCATCATCGATGCGGGCAGTGAGAAAATCGCCGCGATGGAAGGGCACGGGCAAATGCCAGCGTCATTGCTCTCACCATCAATTGCGGATCCAGTTCCAGCTTATCCCCATCCCCGCAGCCTCATGTCCCGGTCGTCGAATCTGAGCACGATGCCCCTCACCGGTGACCGCAGTATGCCAAGCTCGCCGTTCTACGACAAGATGCAGATCCAAGATGAGGAATCGCGCGAGGTCAAGGTCTGCGGCATGGGGAGCCGCATGTTCATGTGTGTGGCGATTAGTCTTCTGTGCTTCGTCCTCGTACTGCTTGCCACCGTCCTCGGCGTAACTTTGACCATGAAGGGGCAGAGGTCGAGCAGCAGTTCAAGTTCCGTACCCCAAAATTATTTCGCAATCCTAAACAACACGCAACTGGCCGCGGTAAATTGGACAGATACGACTGGTGTCGCTCGGTCGGCCTTGTTCTACCAAGACTCTGAGAGCTCCATTTTAGTGTCCCTCCGCGACTCGATTAGCAATAATTGGTACTACAGCAATGTCACGCAGGCGGTGTTGAATATGACCGGAGCAGACGAACTGGACGTCCTCGCAGGGACACCGTTGGCAGCCGTGACGAACTCGTATCAAGTCAGCCTGTACTACCTGACAAACGACAATCTGGTGGCGGAGATCTGGGCTTCCGACATTGTCGGCGAAGTCTGGTTCGCAGGAGAGCTCGGCACGCGCCTGGCGCCTCAGGCGATGGAGGGCTCCAAACTTTCGGCCTACTGGCAGATCTGCGACAACTGCACCAACTCGTTATTCCTGACATATCAAGAGCCATCCGGAAGTATTCAGCTTTGCAACCTCACCAACAACACATGGTCATATGCCGGCCCAGTCGGCACCGAATTGTCCATGAATGGAACTGGATTATCACTACGCCCTTTCACTGATAACGACGGCATCGGTCAGTATGGTACAATGGACAACGCGTTGCGGGTGTACCACTTCGACAACTCGGGAAAGCTACAGGAGATCATGAACGGCCCGGAGACAAACTTCACCTGGATGGACGGCAGCTCCGGTAGGTTAATCCAACAAGCGCAAATGAACACCGGGCCAATGACTGACGACATTCCAGATGTCTCTATAAGCAGCGCCGCAGCAATGGTCAACCCCAGTCCGGACCTGGTTTCAGTTTCGTACGGCGACCACGGGTGGACGAACATGATGGTGACGTTCCTCGCCTCGGACGGCACCCTGACATCCAGCTTCTGGAATGAGAGCGCCTGGACGGCCGGCGCGCCCACCCTCAGCGGCGGCCCGGCGGGCTCGACCAACTTCACGGCGATAGCCACGACACAGAACAGGATGATTTACGGGCTGTCGGAAGTCGGCATATTCGAGTACCACTTCGACGACAACAACCCGCTTAATTGGATCTTCACATCCGACGTGGCCATCAGCTGAGCTGCCCAACTGAACTGTAACTGATGTTGTATAAATCTCACATTGAGGCGAGGCGTTCATGGTCACGATTCCCAGGATTTGCGCTTCGGCATTGATTCAATCTGTTGCATCAATATTCATACTTAGTAGGCACCTTATTCAATTGACAAACCTCTTAAGAATCTTGATGAGCCGCTGTTCAACGGATGGCATCCATGGTGTTGTTGAACGATGTAACAAATTGCCTGCACCTTACGATTCTCCACGATCACATGTGCTTTCACCCATCTAATGTGCTCCAAATACTGTCCAAGCACACCTAGGTAGCCCATTTTGCGAAGATCTATTGCGTGACATCCTTAGGAACCGTCGGCTTGCTGGAATCAAATTCGCGCAATACTACACTTTAATAAGTGTTTCCAGGCTGGGGGGATGTTCTTCATGTGTGAAAATACCACATGCCACGGCTTCGTTCGAAACCTACAAGATGAGTTGTTTCAACCCCCCATATTTCTTTTCTTGAGACTACCTTTCCTTGATCTGTTGCAGGTTTCAACTTTCGATCCAGGTTCTTGACTAATTCTCTTGGGTGATGGTTAGACGATCTCCACTACCCTAGGGTATACTTACCCACCAAGGCCCCTCCCGAGGTCTCTTGGCCATCACCGAGTTATGCACCCTTGAGTGGATTTTAAAGCTTATTACCTGCTTAAGTAGGTATCTGAAAGGCCGCATCGTTTAACTCGCATCCACTGAACAGTAACCACCACGTGGTTCCCAACTTTACTAGTACGTCTCTGTATTTTGAGTTGAAGAGCTAACGGACAGGCCTCCATATTGGGAAACCTCAGCATCAAAATGTGAGAGAATTTGCACAAATTCCTAATCAGGCTTGGTGGCTTGGATATCATTAATGCACACATCCCTTTTTTTCTAAAGAAATTGGGACACTATTTTGTTGAGTATTGGTATTCATCAAGTCTCGGAACGAGGGACAGGTAGGTATCTGGTTGTGAATACTATGTGATGTGGCTGGCACCTGGGGTTTCAGGAGATCAAGAGACACTAAGAAATAGATTAGGTCCGGCACCATCATCAGGAAAATCGTGTCCTGTTAGAGCATTCGATGCCGTACACGGATGTAGTTGACAATACGCCTTGCCAATGCTAGCCAGTCATGCACTGCACACGCAGTAGCATATCATCGGAGACCGCCGAACAGAAGCTGCTTATCAACAAGCCTCAATTGAGCTAGCCACCACGCTGTGTAACACACGCCTTCTCCACGTTATAAGAACCGCCGCTCCGCAGGTCCTTTCTTACATTGATCTTCTTGTCACACGTCAGCCCGTGCGGAGCAGTATCATCTATCACGAGGACCTAAACTTGCCACCTATTTGAAAATACCTAGGTACCGTTGAAGGGACTGTACGAGCGGAATCAACATGACAACGAAATACGTTGATAGACAGATACCCAAGGTGAGTTAGTTAGCTCCCCTTTTGGTGGACTGGGATGTTGCGCCAACCCACCGATGTTTCAAGCACCGGAATGGACTGACAATTGCAGATCTCGCTGCGAGACTTTGAAAACAGATTGGAAGAGATCACTTCAGAGCTGTGTGATGCTGCGGAGAATGTCGGCTTCTTCTCTATTGTGGACCACGGCATCACTCAGGCCGAGGTTGACAACGCCTTTGCCACTTCTCAGGCCTTCTTCTCCTTACCAGATGATGTCAAGGCCTCGGTGGCGTGGAACCCTAACAATGTTGGCTGGGAGAAGAACTCTCAGATAAGGCCATCTACGGGTGCAGCAGACAACAAAGAGTCATACCAACTTCAGTTCGGCGAAAACATGCTCACTGGTGGGAAAGGCGACAACGGCTATAACAGCATGTGGTTGAGCGACACTCACCTAGCCGGTTTCAGAGATAACTGTCTCCAGTTTATGCATCACATCCACAAAGTATCCGAAAAACTCATGGTATGCCTTGCAAGGGGCCTAGGCTTCCCCGACAACTATTTCCTTGAGTCTCACGACCCTTCCGACCCCAAGTGCCAGAACGTTCTCCGCTTGCTGCACTACTTTCCCACACCAGAGTCCAACGATGGGAAAGTCTGGCATAGGGCGGGCGCACATGCCGACTGGGGCCTCGTCACGCTTCTTTTCCAGCGCGAGGGCCAGACCGGCCTCGAGATCTGCCCCGGGCGCGAAGCGGTCACCGAGTTCGCGCAGGGCGACACCTGGACCAAGGTTAACTTTGAACCGGGGGCCATAATCTGCAATATTGGAGATATGCTGATGCGCTGGTCTGACGACCGCTTCAAGTCGACGTTGCACCGCGTCAAAGCGCCCTCTGAACCGGGCGACTTCTACGGAGAGCGGTACTCCATCGCGTTTTTCAGCCAGCCGAGCAAGGACACGATCATCCAGGGGCCGAAGAAAAAGTACCCGGAGATAACAGGGCGGCAATTCATTGCAAATGCTATGGAAACACATTTTGCGGCTTTGAAGAAGCAGGTGGAACATCGAGACGGACAGACGGACAAGATGCCATCGTCCGAGGGAGCACCGGTTGTGGAGGCTACTGCTTGAGATGATAAGGACAATGCATTTTGCATAATGACGTACTCTCGTTTTAGTTCTGCGATGAATTGATTCAAAATTTACAGAAGGGAAGATCATCTTTTGGTGGGTCTCTCCTTCACAACCGTTAGTTGTGTCGTGGTAGATATACGTTCTCTCGTCTCGCAACATACTTATTTCAGCCAAGATCTCAAACGCTTGATGTTGTTGTCTACAGAACTGCCAGAAACAAAGGTCGATTATTACCGCAAATGAAATATTTGGGCATCGGACACTAAGGCAGAGAATACTGGTCCTATAGCACATACTGCCCAGGAATAAATGCTGTACTAATGCAGAAAGCAACCGCATTCCCAGTGTGAAGTACTGCAACCCTCCAGGGCTGGGAACTCTTTCTGTGGTCAGTTATTTCCCTATAGCAGACACTTAACCAGCATGATCAAGGGGTACAATTGAAATTTGACATCTAGCACAGTATTGAAATTCTTCTTCAAAGGGCTCGGGTCGCCCCTCGTCATCCACCCGCTGTCACAGGTCAAACGCTTCGATAGCGACCAGAGAACGTATGTTCACCCAAGGTAATCCTCCAGGAACCTGAGGGCTCCAGACGACAATCACCACAACCAACGGGTCTCGTCCCACTTTGAGAAATCCCATTTTTGAGCCGCTGACATCACTGGGACGGTGAAAGGTGCGCCCTGCTTTGTCGACGGCGCGAAAGACTTGCTGGAGCCCTCGTCGGCATGGATACTTGTGTCACAACCGTCTGCAGTGTCTGGAGCTGCTCGGGAACTGTTGTCGACTTTTGATTCCTTAACGAGCTTCCTCTCCCCACTCTGCATTACGCCCCGAGAGCCGCTCCATCCACCAGTAGATTTCTCTGAATAAACGCCAGATTCTGATTCAAATGAAGAATACTGAAAGAGCGGATCGAGATTCGGAGTGCTGACTGTGATGATGCCCAATTCATCCAGGGCTATCGACAGCGTCTCGACAGGCGTGGTCCAAATGTCCTTCATCACACTTATTGCTTTGTAGCTTAGCACACCGCAGACACTAGAGTCTCGCTCCATCATAAGCCACCGAATAAGCTTCTCTGGGAGTTGCTTGTGAATAATATACTGTTGTGGAATGTTTTGACGCGGCAGGTAAATTGTGAGTTTTGAACTCTTCTCTCGAAGGTCCATGGCCGGTGCCCCTCGAGATGCCTTATGCAAGACTCCATCCTGTGAGAGGCGAACTTCCAGAGAAATCGCATCAGTGACGAAAATCTTTGCATTTCGTATCAGTTCATACAGAGAGTCTGTGTCTCTCGCCGTCCTCACACGGGGGCTTTTGAAGTGCTTGGCAACTCTGTGATCCGACTTGTCAGTGGACGCATTTCAGGTCTTTGCGGACCTAAAGAACATACCTGAGAATGGCGTGAGCTCTTTGTTGAAATTGTAGTTCTACTTGAGGACTTCGTTCCGCATCGGAGGTTCGTACGGATATGCACGTCTCTGCACATCGAGAGACGTATCTGTGACCCAGTTCGGCCCACTCAATAAAAGGTTCCAGTTCGTTGACCCTCTCCAGGTTGAAGTCGAAGAATTTCATGCCATCCTCGAACAGAGGTCGCATAAATTCTAGATCGACGATGAAGAATTGTGTTTGTGCAGAGACGCACTGAACTCCTCCTTCAGGATATTTCACAGGAAAGATCCTACTCTCTCCATTGAGTTTTGACTGCTGCGCATCCTTTGCTGAGCAAACTTGAAGAAGTGAATTGACCATCATCAAGTGTGTCTTCATTTCCTCAACCGTAACCGATCCTCGACAACCCGCGTTGTTCAGTTGGTCGACCGCCACTTTGAGGGTCAGTGGCTTGAAGCCAAGGACAAAGACAAAGAGACAGTGCAATTCCTTGTATTCTTCTTCGAGGGGGATGTTTTCCCCGAGTTGAGTATCGGCAGACCAGCCGCATTGAGAAGGTCTATGCCAGGATGGTAGACCATTTAGTACCACGCAAACAAGTTTGTGATCCTCGAATTGCTCCTTGAGCCAACCAAGGGAGGTTCCTTGTTCAATCTCTATCCCACACAGCCTGTCAATCTCTCTGTACAAGGCTTTGACGTCAACACATTTGGCAAGTTTGAGGCTCTTCAACTCGTCAACGTATGTATCCAAAGTGCAGTTTGGGATGCCTAGTGTGCTTGTGAACAGCTGTTCGATAGGTAGTCTATCGGGGTCAGAGAAGAATGTCCATTGTTCGAAGTAAATCCGCAGAGCATGCTTGGTATTCAGATGCCGAACTGCGCTCCTTTTTGTTTCGCGCAAGTTAGCGGAAACGCCCTTATGCCCGACATCCATGGATGTATGAAAAGAGACAGAAAGAAAAGACTGCCGAATATCAATGCTCACATACCAAACGCACTCCTTAGGAGAAGCCCAAATGTGGTCTATCGTAGGGGAAAACCGCGGAATGCAAATCGCTTTCTCATCTGCGAACGTTTTCCTGCATGCTCATGTTTGTTAGAACGTGTAGACATTGGATAAGTATGAACGCACCATATTGTCTCATCTTTCTCTCTACCAACCTCCGTCTCCTTCTGAAGCTGTGCCTGAATATAACTATACAAGTTGAACAATCTGCTGATACTCATGATACCGGGATCACCTGATTGCAAAGCACGCACGCTGTAACGCAGTATGGACAAAGCAAATTCAAGGTCAGTGCGAGGTATTCCAGCTCCTATCTTGTTCAAGAACACGTGCCATGTAGACGGTATGCTACCGCTGGTTTTATCATGTGTCCGTAGAAATGGAAAGGATGCGCAGGGCTCCAGGAATCGATTGACGATGTCTTCCAAATTTCTGGTCGGAAAGAAGGTATTCTTCAGAACTTCTGGGCCATCCCGACACATGACCGTTGTGTTCTGAAGACATGTAATGAATTCAGGTGCAAGCTGTGAGTCTTGTTGAATATGTACCTGAAGCGCTCCAAGAAATCCTCGTGGCCAATACCGTGACTCTTGCAGGTGTTTCCCAGACTCAGGTAGATCTGCACCTATAAGTCGAACATACCTCGAAATGTTGAGGTAGATATTGAGCCACTGGACCCAAGTGTGTGCCTGATTTGGCGGCTTCTGGGGTGCATTGAATGAGTATGCATCATTCAGAAAGTAATGAGGTGTGGATCCTGTTGGTGTGTAGTCCTTCGCCACTCCATGTAGCAGTAGCCAAGGGGTGCGAGGGGCCACAGCAGTGGTAAACATAGATATAAGTACTTTGGAAGGATTTCGAATACGTTCATCCATGTCGAAAACGACAATATCGGTGTAGGAAGCTTCATCTACAGACTTCAAGTGCTGAGTCACGTAGAGAAACACCAGATGTTGCTTTGAAGTTTGCACCGATATGTTAGACAGGAGTCCGGCCTGCCCATATATCTCCAAAATTCTGCTCCGAACCAGGGATACGGGAGCTTCCCGCAGGCCCAAGTCCTGGAAGAGCCTGATCCTGTCCACATTGGTTATTGTTTTGTCGATGATAGGGAGCCCAACTTGTGGAGGCATATCTCTCCCGTCAAAGGTGGGGAAGAAGACTGGACCAGTTGCTGCCGAAACCCAGTCACCCCCCTCAAGCGGCAACAAATTCATAGTCTTGATCTTGGCTTTGTACTTGGGCCAGTTTTTCAGGAATGGCTCATGCAACAACTTTGCTGTCTGGCTGTGCCATTTGTCCGTTGTTCCCGTTGACCTGATCCGTGACCATGCGCCACGATCAAGGTCTTCTGATAGCCAATCAAGAAAGTGTCCGAGATCAGCGAATTTGAGTCCCCAATTCATGAGAACATCCAATTCACCAATCAAATATCGCCGCGAGATTATGTTCTCCGAAACTTCATCCCCCAACAAAGGCTCGCCGTTCTCACAACAAAAGTCGCCTCCCAGGCGGACTAGGTCTCCGATCCGGTGTAAAGCATGCTTTCTGTGACAGTACAGAACCGGTGTCTGGCTCAGGTACATTTCGACCTTGTCTATAAACGATAGCCATAAAGCATCCCACGTCTTGTCGCTTCTGTCTGGCAAGTACCTCACCCATTCATAGCGCAAGCTTGGGTGTTCACAAAACTGCACCACAGCTTTACAAAACGCACCAGCGACTCGATCGATCAGTGCCAAGTTATCTTTCGAATCTTTGACGGTGTCTTGGCTACTGTCGGTGACGAAGGGGGCGTGTATTATGAATGTGAAGCCCGCTGACCGGACAGGCGAGTATGCGGATACTATATCCTGCGGCACGATGACGGGGACTGATGTCTCTGAAAGTTGAAAGGCGAGTGCAACATCCGACGTGGGTGAGACCTGACCATGGCGCATCTGACCGCCTTGGCTCACAAATTGCGGTGCTTGGTGCATCGTGGTATGATAATGCGCGATGTGTGTTTCTTGGATCCCGTTTCGCATTGTGACTCTTGTCACAACCGCATGGTTGACACTTGGGTGTTTGATTGAGTATGTGGTGGAATAGCTCTCTGCTCCGTCGATGCGGTGTAATGTAAAGCGGATTATTTTCAACTGTTTCGTGAACAAGAGGATTGTGTGTGGGAACTTTAAGAATTGCTTTCGAATGGTTTCATGCAACTTTTGCACAAGGTCAAGATTTCCAGTGTCGTCAGTGCCGAGAAGGTGAAGTGTGATTCTTGTCATCGACAGATAGCCATCGTCATCCTCCCACCTAGGCACGATCTCCCCTACGCCGGCGTCGCCAGTCAGGTGACTGAAAGAGAAGGAAAAGTGCCCGGATCGGATATGGGCTTTCCAAGCTGCCGCGAAAACAGACTGGAATCCGATACCTTTCTCCCCGGTATGTCCATGCGATCCTGTCTTCCAGCTCTGAAAAGCGGAGCAAACGGCCTCGAGGTCGTCATCGGTGAAACCGTCCTCGTTGCATTCCACAACGACACGGTGCTGAAAGAGATGGAAAGACAGACAAGGTTCTTCGCCAAGGGCTGTTGCCTTGGTGTAACAGTTGTGATCGGCATTCTGTAGCAGCTCAAACATGAAGCGGGTCGTCTCACTGGTAGTCGGGTGCCTGGCTGGTCTTTGTACGCACATAGTTAGTTATAAGTTACAACCTACACCTTGTTAAATCGGCTACAATATGGTTCTCACGTGGAAATACTGGAGCTTGTAACTGGATCGCTCTTCAAAAAGTCTCCTTCACGCGCACAATCCAGTTGGGTATCCCACTTCACCGCTGTTGCTGAATCGAGGTAGCCGTGCTCCGAGGCGATCCGTTGAACGAGCTCTTTCGCACTCTCTCTGGTTTTGGGGAAGGCCATGGCCGCTTTTTCCAGGCAGGAACCTTGCCGGGTCAAATCCCTCGAGCCTGTCAGAAAATGAATAATTGTGATTGAGCTGGGTGAGGGTTATATATTGATGAGACGAGTATAAGTGGGAGGCAGTCTGGAATATTAAAAACCTACCAAGGCAGCCCTTCAGCAGATAATACAGTACAGGGTTGGGAAGAGTAGAATAAGTGTACTATAGTGTTTGATGCTGAGAGACATTTGTATGGCAGCGTCACCCCGAGCGAAGCGCTTGGGTGAAATCCTGTGGACGAGCAACTCGGTTTTAATGTATCGGAATTAAGTATAAATGTACCTAGGTAGGTAGCGCTTTCAGCTGGAGATGGGTAGGCTGATGCCAACAGATTAGTGCTTTGGGGGCCAACCACAAGATTTTTGACTGGTCAGCCATTCGAAGCAAGCAGGCATGTGGACTAATGCAGGCCGAAGTGAAACATCCCCCTAATGAATCTCCAAGGCCGCTTATGCAGTTGCAATAGGCGCCCAGCCACTCGGCCCACTTCTCGAGCTGCAAGGAGGAGGCGTAGGTTTGAGAATCGCGTCCAGCGCGGCAAATAGAATTTAGGGTCCACAAATGAGGAACAGCCGTTGACAATTTGGCAATTTCGGAGGTCGATTTTATCGATTTGATTTTCCCGGACAAGTCTCCAAACTTTAGGATTTGGGAATTTGCACTGATGGTAGTCGGACAGGGAGAATGTCAATGAATGGACCTGATTTACATACGCGGTGTCCTGCTTCTACTTCAGAGTCCGATGAACATCAGCTGCCGAGGAGAAACCACCAAACCATGCCAAGCTCTTCATATTGGCTTTGTGGTCCTCCATCGTCAGGTAGCCGTAGCATCGCTGAGTGTTTATTAGCCGTAGAAGTCCCTCAAGCGGCACGAGGCCGAGCCACGTGCCCACAGACGTACTGTATTCTCTTTCCACTGTTATTGGCACTACATTCTTTTTTTTTTAAAAAAAAAAACGCTTGGTCTTGAGCATTTACCACTGTATGAAGGCGCCACATACATTTTATATGTATGGGGATTAAAAACGAAGCCACCCAGAGGTCCCTCAAGTGCTCGTCACGCCATCCCGCACCCGCGGACTCGACACAGACGTGGCTGCCAACAATCGTGCACAGGATCTGGCTGACGTCGCGGCCGCGTAGTAAATCCTCAATATGTGTTTGGGGTTAAAAAAAGAAAACAGAGTTGCGTCTTGTCCATCACGACCTTGCCCTGGGCCCAATCAGGGGCGAGGTTGTCGAGGGTATCCGCATCCCAAATGCCGCGGACCACGCCCCGCAGCTCCTTGATCGGAGGAAACTCTTCCACGTGAACTCCAGCGTCTGAGTAGTGCTCGTTGTAGCAGAGGTGGGTGAAGATGATCGGCGGAGCGTGTTGATGGTTCCGACGATGGCGAGATGGTTGGAGACCAGCATCCCGAGCTTGCCAAAGCAGCCCCCGGGATGGCAAAACCCGTTCTAATGGTAATTATTAGAAGTGCTGGCTGTGACTTAAGTAATCTAGGGTAGGTCGGCTATCATAGTTTACCGAACAGCGCCGATGTGTGCTATAGCTTACTAGTACCTAGGTGGTTTTGTGGTACAGACTTGCTCTATGATTCATCTCTTGGTTCCACTCACTCGGACTCAACACTGCCGTGCCGAAGTTAAGCAGGCGTGCGTTCACAGGGCATCTGTGTGCCCTTTCCTTGCTTCCGCCTTGATCGTATGTCAAAAACACAGGCTCCCAAAGCCGATACTCCAAATATCCAAAAAAAAAAAAAAAAGAAGAGCAGTTTCGCTGTTAATGGCAAGCAATGCATAACAGCCCACGTTTTCGCGGTCCACCCACATGCCACCCACACGCCTCACATCGGTACACCCATGGCAGTCTGGGCATCCCTGATCTTGGTCTCCTGCTTGACCAGCGTCTGCGACAGCTTGAAAAGCCGGTCCCTCTCGTCCCTGATGGCCGCCCTGACATGGGTGGCAGCATTGTGCATGCCGTCCTGGATCTGCGTCTTGAGCACGGCCTCGAGGCTCTCGAGGCGCTTGGTCGACCTGGCCATGGCGGTGCGCACCTTGTTAAGGCTGTCCTGGCTGGCCTTCATCATGGCGGCGGACGGTGCAGGGGCGGCAGAGGACGGCGCGGTGGCCGCGGGGGTCCCGGTGACGGCGGCTGCGGCTGCGGCTGCGGACGAGGAGGGCGGCGGACCGCCACCGCTGCTCGGAGGGGGCGGCATGCCCGGCGTGGCTGTCATGTTTGGGTCATGGGCCGCGGTGTCGGCTCCGTTGGCTGGCTCGGGGACGGTGGAGGGGCCTGGAATGCCGGCGATGGGCGTGTCGGGGGCGATGGGGCCATCCAGGTCGAATGCGAAGGAGGGCTCGCTGCCGCTGCTGTTCAGGTACGCCTCGCACTTGCTGAGGTGGTTCTTCATGCGCTGGATGTTGTCGGCGCAGGCATCTTTGTTGCAGTGCAGGCAGAAGGCCCGCTTCTGGGCGTGCGCCTCATCCTGAAGGCGACGTTAGCTGGATGTTGTCATGGTAGTAGTTGGGGGAATGTCAGGGATATGTGGGACGAGATGCGATCTGGGATGGACGCGGCGTTCTGAACGCGCTGTAGCTTTCGTCGCGCAGCAAACGCAAACGAGGACGACGCATCGAATGGATGCAGCGGGCGCAGACCGACACACTCACCTCATAAGTCCGAAAATGGACCCTCGTATCACTGTCCAGTTTCCGAGGCATGGCTGATTTCTTCAGTTCTCGCTCCCCTTCCCCTCTGCGGCCTGCTGTCTCGCAGTGCTGATGGGCTTCGAGGGCGAGGGAGAGTCGTGCAGACTCGGCGTTCAGAACGATGGCCGTGTCGCTCCAAAAATTCTAAAGTTACGCGCTGTCAGCCGACGACCCCTAACCCTGCCAACGTCAAGCTCGAAACACTACTGCCAGTGCCATGGTGATTATCACCGTACCCAGCACACCTTATTTCTGACAACCCCTGCTGTCCTCGTCTTCCAAAGATCAGACTGCAATGCGCATTAATATCCTATATATGCCTGTCGCCTATAAATACTGGCAACATTTGAATATACAAACAAGATCTAGCATGCAAAACTAAATGACCACACCTTCTCCTTGCTCCTTGGGTATCATGAATGCCAAAACATGCAAGCCTCCCTCATTACGCACGACGCTCTTCAAGTTCCTCATCCACGACAAATTCGCTCACCTCAAGCTCCAGCACATCTTCGTTGGCGTCGAGAGCTCTGTCGTCACTGTCCTCGTCCTGCAGTATGCCCCTCAGCCTCTGCCTGACCAGTGGGTCCTTCTCCATCTCCTGCCATAGGCCAAGGTTCCAGTCCTCCAAGTTGCCCTCCATCCAGTCTTCCTTGCCGGCTTTCTTCCAGCTCTTGAGCCTCTTCCACCATCCTCGGCCCCACCGCCACAGGCCCATGATAGTCAGCGTCCGCTTCGCCATCTTAAAGCCGAGCTCCGCCACGAACAGGACGATCAGCACGAGTAAAAGGGTCATCCACCATCCTGGGTCTTTGCCAAATGTGCTAAAGAAGCCACCGCGGACGTTATAAGGCGACGGCTGAAGCGCATACACTCCAGCAAGGAAGGCTTGCCAGAGCCACCAACCGGCGACGGTAATCAAGAAGGAGCCGAGGACGAGGGAGGATTTGAAATGCGTCTCGATGATTCTGCCAGAGGTCAGTCATCTGGCCGCTATTCATCCATTGCGCAAGACGGCGATGGTATAGGGCGGGCAGTAGTACTCACAGCAACTTCCAATTCGTCCACACGATGCAAACCGTGAACACCAGGTCACCCAATGCAAACAGCCCCTGATCCCTGAAGCCCCCGGCCTGGCCGAAGTAGCCATAGCCCGCCCAGCAACCATAGAATGTAAGAATACCCTCGACAGCAGCACCGACCATCCAACCGAGGTACCGCGACAGATTGAGTGCTTCCCCCCGCTGGCCGTACACGTAGAGTTCCGGAACAGCAAGCAGGGTCTCCTGGGTCAAGTCCTGCTCCCAAATACCAGGCGCGATCGTAGCCAGACTGGTGAAGAGCACATTGAGCACCGTCAGGCTCCAGCTCTCATATAGCGACGTCCCAGTGAACCCAGTGTACCGCGTGAAGATCTCCTGGGGCATGTAGAAGAACATTTCCTTCCAGAACGTCCACAGCACAAATTTTGCCGTCCGCACGTAGTTCCACCTTCCGTGGACGAGAAGGAGGCGTTGCAGGAAGCGGAACTGGGCGATGGAGTAGTCTGCTACCCGGGCAGCCTGGAGACCTTCATGGCCCGAGATACCGATGCCCACGTGGGCCTCAGAAATCATCGCAAGATCATTTGCACCGTCTCCGATAGCGAGGGTCAGAGACGGCGATGTGACAGGGCGTTTCGACGAGATGGTCTTGCGTGTTGCTCGCACAATAAACGCCTTTTGAGCCGGAGAGGCTCGGCAGCAAATGACACTGTCGATGTGTGGGATCAGGGCAAAAAGAAGATCTTTCAGCCTTGTGTTGCTCGGGTCGGCTGGTGTTTCGATACAGCCCAACGTCTGGCCGTCTATCACCACCACGGTATGATGGCGTGTTGTGGCCGTGGGAAAATCGCTAGCAATGCCAAGGTCCTCCATTATCTCCCTCATCTGTGCCTCAAGATCACCTTGTGCTGCATCCAATATGTAGACCTCGGACTCTGGCAGACATATGCGTGCGGAATGTGCAATGTTGATGGCAGTCTCGCGTTTGTCACCAGTCAACATCCATATCTTGATATTCGCCCGCCGAAGCTTGTCGATCGTCTCGGGAACTCCCCTTTGGAGCTTGTCTTCGATGGCAGATGCGCCGACGAGGTCCAAGTTCTGCTCAATAAGATCACCTGCCTCTTCGATGCGGGTCTGTCTGTCGACCAGGCTTGTCTCCGCCGCGTGGAACACTTCTTTCCAGGCCTTGTAGTCCTCTTCGGCGATGTACTTGTGGGCGTAGAGGAGAGTCCGCAGGCCCTCGGCTGCGAAGTCATCAAGAAGCTTGAAAGATCGCGTGAAGACTGTCGCTTCGTCGCCCAGTGATGGATCGTCCAGGAAGGCGAACCTGTCTTGTTGGCGACCAGCGGCGGACCCGGAACGGAGCGCCAAGGAAGATGAGACGTCCAAAGACACGCCCCTGTTGAGGGACGGACGAGAACGGTCGGTCGAGCTTCGGTACACATTGCTGATCTCGAAGGACTTGCTCCTGCCGTATAATGGCGGACGTAGGCTGGATGAGCCTGTGTTGGGCTGTCGGTTGACGCCGATACTCCGTCGAATGGTCAAGCTCGGGCGACCACCGAAAGAATTACGTGGCTCTTGTTGTAGGCTCTTCCTCTGCAGCGCGCGCTCCACTTCTGCACTTTGTCGAACCTCTTTTGCTTTTTGCAAAGCAACCTGGGCAGTCTTCAAACGTGGGAGAATCATCGAGTCAGCGCCTTTGGTAACCAGCCAAATCCTGCCATCAGGGCACCTGAGAACAATAGACATTCGCTTCCTCTTGCTGCTGAACTCGATCACATCGAGTATCTCGTATACCCGCGTGGTCTCTGAGCCGCCGCTGGACACCTTCAGAGTGATCTGCTGGGAGGAACGCTGCACGACCGTGTAGCCAAGTTGCTGAGCTGCTTGGACAAGCGCCAGCTCATCGGGGGATGAGGCTTGGAACTCGATCCCGTCTTCCCTGAACTCAGGGAGACAGGTGTGGCAAAGAGCCATCGCAAGTAGATACTGCGTGGCTTTTCTGGCAAACGCAGAGTTCGGCCTAGCGCGAATGAATTCGAGCAGTTCATCTGTTCTGACATCTGGTTGCACCACACCGCGGCGCGCAGACGACTGCCACTGCGATGATGGACGGGGACTGGTTGTCGGGGAGGCATCACCTTCTTCAATCTTGTCTGGCTCCACAACAAGCTGAGCAACACCGGGGCGGGTATTGACAGATTGCGCTTGCAGGGACTTCCTGCCTTGGCCATCACCCGCAATGGGACCGACAGATTGCTCCTCACGGAGATCCGTCTCATGCACATGCAACCAAGCCGTACCGGCGATTGTCATTTTCCTGAACTTCATCACGTTCTCGGTCAAGGTACCGGTCTTGTCGGAAAAGATGTACCCAACCTGGCCCAAATTCTCCAGGATTGTGTTTGTATTGCATCTTGCTGGGGTATCCGACGCAGCATCGTACATGCCCATATCGCCGTTGAGCATCAGCATCTGTCCAATTTTGACCAGCTCGAGACTCACGTACAGCGCCAGGGGGATGACATTATTGAACATGATAGCGTATCCAATGATTATCTCCTGGGCCGCGACCTGCTGTCCATTGACGTACCAGGCGGATCGCTCAGTGCTCCGTTGCCACAGCAGATAGCCGATGGAACAGCCCATGGTCAAGCAGATGACGTAGAACACCAAGCTGAGGACGACGCGGTTGTAGACGGCCTCGAGTGCAGGCTTTTTAGCCTTGGGGTGCCGATTGGCATTCATCCGTATCTTGGATTCCTCGCCTGTGTTGATGACCAGACCAAGTGCACATTGTGTATTTCGAAGAACGCTCCCGCGGTAGACCACCTCATTCAGGGTGAGGGGTACCGTCTTGCCGTTGACCTCGGCCCTACCATTGAAGTTGTAGAGGTCGGCGTTAGGGTCCTCAACGATAAGTGTGGCGTTGCATTCCAGTATGCCTTGGATTGTCTCGCACCCTTCAAACTCAGGCAATACCTGTCTGCTCTTGAGGTTTGTCTCACCGTCCAATGCCATGGTCTCAACATATGCCAGTCCATTCTCGCCATCAGCGTGAAGAAGTACAATGTCAGCGGGGACCTCGTCATCTCGGGAGAGTCTGATGACGTCGCCAACCCTGAGCTGACCCCACGCGGTCTTGGTCCATTGAAAGCCACCGACGGCTTGTGAAGCGCGAGGAATGGGAGGGTCGGGCTGCTTGTTAGCCCAGTTGAGCCAAGAGGTTGTCGTTGCCCAAGCCCGCCAACCCCCGTGGGCGCGGGCTATCGACTGCTCGTCTGCACTTCGCAGGGCAGTAGCGGGTTGCGCATTCTCAAGATTGTCGAGGCGGTGCCTTTTGTAGTCATCGTATCCCTCCTTGGCGATGGTGAGGAGCACGAAAAAGAGGAGGGGCAAGATGGTGGTGACGTTTCCGGTGGTGCTTATCCCAGGGATGGTCTGAGGGATGCCCACACAGAGGAAGTAGAAGTTGCCCAGGCGGCTGAACTGGAAGAAGAGCTGCTTGGGGAAGAAGTTGAAGATGCTGTAGCGGGACGTGCGGATTACATTCGAGATGAATGCATGGCCGTGGCGCTCGTCTACCAGCTGGGCCGACCGGCTCGGATCAAGTGGGATGACGCGGCCATCTGTGGACGGGGCGGCCCGGGCTTTCTGGCGGAGAAGGGTGTCGAAGACGAGGCTGTGGTAGTGGCGGGAGAAAAAGTGCTTTGCTCGCCGCGTGGGCGACAAGCGCGGCCGGGGCGGACGTGCGTCTGGCGGCTGCTCCTTGTCGCTGGTGCTGGGAGCGTCAGGTGCGCCAGCGCCATCGACGACTACCATGGCGCGTTTGAGACGGCGGCGTGGGTCCTAGTCATGTCTCCAGCCCTCAACTGGACGTGACAGATTGGTGGTGGTGTTGTGGTCGTTGTCGTGCAGCACGTCAGACCTGGCCAGTGCTGGCTCTAGGTATCCGTACTGTAATATCCAACGAGAGATTTCTCACCGCAGGCCGAGCAGTCCGAGTCTGGCCCGTGGGCAATCTCCGCTTCCCTGGCTCGCCTGACCCCCACGTCGGACTTGGCCAAAAGACGGATCAAAACGAGTGGCAGCAAGATGATTGCCTGCTGGGGAGGAAAGGGGGAGGGGTGGGTCTGGGGTGAGTGAGCGAGGGAGTGAGAGAGAGAGAGATGAAGTCAGTCAGTCAGTCAGTCAGTCAGTCAGTCGTCATGCAGACAGACACAACGGCCAAGGGCCTGCATGAGGCAAAGTCCAATCATTATCTCCAAGAGGCCCCACATGCCCGGTCCTGCCCCTGCCATTTCCTCCCCCTTGGCCTTGCTTAGCATTGGGATACCCTAACCCTAACAATGTCACCCGATAACAAAAAGGTGCCACCGACATCCAAACGCCCAAGAAGAATATCCAAGCATGCCCAGGTGGCTTTCTTCTGGGAGGTCCTGGGCCACCCATATATACGTTGCGGAACGGAGAAAGTCAGCTTGTGCTCACTTTGCCGCGGCAGAAAACATTCTGCACTGCGTACTTGTCTTTACTCCGCTCTCTCCCTACCCGTACTTAAGTACCCAGGTACCGGCACATTCCAACAACATTTGACGTGTGCCAGCTCTCAATGTTAGTTATTAAAGTCTGCTTGCCAGTCCGCACGGCGTAAACGAGAACAGCCACAACCGACTGGGCATGATCTTGTAATTTTGGTCTATACCTTTATCGGCTTTTCAGATTTTACTTGCACATAACGATTTGTTGGAAACCAATGATTTCTGATGATGGAAAAGAAGGAGGATATCGGGGTCCTTTGTTTGCACATTACATATGTACATATGTGGTTTATTTACTGTCGCCTAAAACCCCATGGTATCTTCACCAGAAGCATCACAAAATGCGCCAGGCCACTGGGCAAATAGTACCAAGACTCCCAAGGTCTATTTTAAGCCAGGCGCGGGCAATCCCGATGTTCATGCACACTATCTCATTTGCTTGCACGATTCATCGGATGAAAGGACTGGCCTCCCTCAGCGATATAGACCCACAGCAACTCCATCAGTACTCCACCAACCGGCTCTGGACTTGAAGTAATGGGTTTAACCACCATGCGCACGAGTAATCCATTTCCCAGTATATCTGTTCCATGCAACAGGTTGTAACAGTTCTGAGAATCAATGAGCTTCCAGTGCAACGAGAAAAAGGCAAGAAATTTCCCCATTTTTGAACAAAATCAAACTAGTACCCAGGTATCAGGATCAATTCAGGGCGCAGAACTCACCAACTCACACTTCAGGTGTAGTCAGTACTGCCGTGTCCTCCAAGTCTGCCATGCCACATTCAGCTGCGTGGCTACATGTGTATTGAACAACGCCCCATCGCGGTTTCATTTCCTTTAAGCTTCGTGATCAATTGCGACTGCACGTCCCATTGCCCTAAAGTGCATTTGAGTCAGTGAATCATTCCTAGACTTTGTCCCGATTGGAAGAAGCGGCCAGGAGTGGATACGTGTGTGTGTGGAGATCGAGGCATTCTACATACCGTACCGGGACGAACAGCCAAGACACGCGTACTGGGCGTCAGGATACCGGGGCAATTCATTTACACCAGCCCTGGAGGTCAAGACATGACTGAAGCTCGCATCCGAAGCAATACTTAAGGTCACTGGTCGCCGCCAACATCTGACGTTTCACCCAAGATCTATTGATCTAATCCGCCTCTCTTTAAACTACAACTTCTAAAGTTATAATAATACTGCACAGCTACACGATAACCATCAATCGAAATGCGTTCTTTCATCACCCTGTCCATTCTCACTCTCGCGGCCACTGCCTTCGCCAAGAGGGGATGCGCACCGGACCCCAACAATCCTGGTTCTGGGTGGTACAGGGTTGTCGAAGGTGACAGTCTGAATGCCAGTGAGTGATACAGAGATCTATTGATGATGCTCCCTCGTCCCTGAAGTATTCATGACTGACGTGAATGCTACAGTCGCCGCAGACTTTGGATCTAATGCCGACAGCCTCGCCGCTGCCAGTAACATCGCCGACAAGAATTTCATCGTTCCTGGTCAGATTATCACTGTTCCTTGCTGATCGTCGTAGGAGGTTGCACTCAGTCGACAGGGGATACATTCTGTGTCGAACACACAGAGGACAGCTTAAAGCGATGTGGCAATAATGTACAGAGAAAATATACCCTCCTTACATGCTTGAGTATATATGAGAAGTAAAGGAACCTTGAGCCTTGCTGCAAATTACTTTGTAGAGATCATCAGATAGGTCCGCTCTGCCTTATCATCCAGTGCAACAGAATCAAAGACAATCTAAGGAGTGAGAAGGCGGCCGACTCTATCCAGCGATAATCCTTGCCTATGCTGTCTCGGAAACTTTAATCCACATGTTGTCCTCGACAAAGACATTGTAACATTTCGAATTCCAAGGTTTCTCTGGGTATGCGATCATGAAATCGAAGTGTCGGAACAACTATCAATTGAAGCTCAAGTCAGCGATCAAATCAGCTCAGAAGCTAGAGGCGAGGCTCAATCCATGGCTAGAAGTCAACTGATACACCACTCACCTCGAAGAAAGTCTTGAACAGCTCCATGTACGCGATGGGTTTACCAGCACACATCCATCTGCCGGAACCAAACATCATTTCGACCTGGCGCTCCATCTCGGTCTGCTTCTCTTCCGATGCCTCGAGCCATCGCTCGGGCCGGAATAGATGCGCATCAGAGCCAAAGAGCTCCACGGACCGGAGCATGGCAGGAACGTTCATGGCGACGAGGGTGCCGCCAGGTATAAACTTTCCTTGTACCACCTCTCCCTGGGGTGGCACCACCTTTGCGAAGGTCCCGGTTGCGCCTGGCCGCATGCGCATGCCCTCATACACCACGGCCTGTTGCATCTCGGTCAGAGGCTTCCGGTATTCCTGTTGAACTCCAACAAACATGGGAAGGAGGAGCTCACTCTTAGGTATGGTATCTCCCTTGCCGTGTCGTAAGAAATCGGCTCGGCGACGTTGCCACTCTTGATTGCTTCTCTGACGGCTTCCTTCAATTTGAAGTATACTGGAGGACTTGATATCAAACAGAGGATTGTGATCCGCATCACCGATGCAGTGGTCTCAGAGCCGGCGATCAGAGCCTGCATTCCTTCAGCCTCGCTCTCTTGAGGAGTAAGTCCATGGTGTATCCATGACCCCTGTGGCAGTCTCGTCAGTTCGAAGCAGACGCTCGAGAACTTGCCAACTACTCACAAGCATGTCGTTCCGTAGCTGAGTCTCTGGCTTGGCGTACCGCTGGTGGACGATCCTCACCACACCTCTGCAAAATCAGACAGACCATCAGTACTTGTCAGCATGTATGGCCTGCTGCATACTTACGACATGAGCTTTCCCATCCCACCCTTGTCTGTGATGTTGGGCCCAAAGAACCTGAGCCACATTTTCGAGTAGAAAAGGCTGCGAAGGAATGGTGTTTCGTTCACGAGGGAGATCATGGCCCAGTGTTCTTTGAGTTGGGTCAGGAATCCGGTGACGTCGGAGTCGGTCCTCAGGTGTCCGAATTCCTCTCCAAAGGCGGCCCGAGTGATAATATCCATTGTCAGGAAAGATGAAAAGTCGGAGAAGTCAAGTAGCGGCGGGCTGGGTTGGTCGCGCTTCGGAATATACCTTGTTCGCAATGTGTTGAGCATTACCAAGATCTGCTCGTCGATGTTTGGTTCGATCAGATCGACCTCGCGCCCGGTGATGTTGTAGGCGGTGGAGATTTGCGCCTTCCGTTTATCATGGCTAGCACAGTCTGCGAAGTTGAAGACGCTGTCCACGTACGGTTGCCCTGGAGTAGACACACTGTCAATCACTCTATAAGAGCCGCGATCGGAACATAGACTGGCCAGTGTTTGACTTCGTGGCTGCCTCGGGAGTTATTCAACCCCCTCGGCCAATCACCTCCTTTCTCCGGAATACAACTACTGTTTGGGCTATAACGGTGTCCAAGACTTCTTGTGAGGAGTCTCCATGTTTCAGAATGAATGAACGAGGTTTATCTTACATTTGAATGCAACATACCACTGACTTCTTGTGTAAGCTCCTCTTACGGCCCCAGTCTTTCGCAAGAAGTCGGCATCAGACGTAAGGATCTGGTTTGGTCCGATCCTAACGAGAGGCCCATATCTCCTCCCAGCTTCTTCAAATGCTTCGCTCAATCTTGTACTGGTTGCGGCTCGAATTATCCATATGTTTGACAACGACGCAAGCCACGGCCCCGGAATGTGGCGCAATCGGTACCAAGAAGCCACGGACGAGATCAGAATCCCAAAGAATATGGACGTGCCGAGGGCCAGAAGGGATCGGGACGCTAATTTCCCAAGATCGATGTGATCCATCGTCGGCTGTCTATCTTGTTCGGCGAAGACAAGATGTTCGAGCCCTCAAGTGCTGTGCGGGAATGACAAGCGTTGTTTTAATCTGTTGACTGCTGCAACTTTTGCACCGCAAAGTTTCGCTCGATCTAAATGTGAACACAGGGGAATGAGGAACTTGACAGATTTTCATACCATATAAGAACGTCGAACCACATTGTTATGCCACCAAGTGGTGTTATTCCTTGCATCCTCATACAAACGTACAATCGACGTGGTGGTGTGTTGTCCGGATGCAATGTTACCCAACGCTGCTCAACCATATTAATCAGACCCTACGAAATGGGTATTTTTCTTGGTGATCATCTTGACTTTTTCGACAAGTCGCCCAAAAGGCAAGGCGAACATCAGTGACCCCGCTTTAATCTGACAAAACATGCATCTCATGGTCATTTGATGCACTGAGGGTAGTACACGGCGCTTGCTCCTGTTAGGAATCAAAGTGCCGGTTTCACCAGCCAAGAAATTTAAATTCCATATAGACAGCTATCTAGGAAAAACAAAGTTGCGCCCCCCCCCCCAATTAAATACCCTCTATTTCTTAGTTAAACTAAAACTTTATTAGTAAGGTAAAAAATCCAACATTCTTACTAAAACACCCTTATTAACCTTATTAATATTAATAATAAATTATTTTTATTATTTAATTAAATAAAAATAATATTATATTAATTTTATATAATTAATTTAAACTTAACTTATAAAAATATATATAATTTATTTATTTTAATATAAAGTAATATTAATTTAATTAATTTTATAAATAATATTATTAAATTAATTTATTAAACTTAAACTATTTAATATTTATTATATAAAATTTATTTAAAAGTTAAATTATATAATTTATTAATAAAATATTATATTATTTAAATAATTATATATTTAAAAACTAATTATTAAAGTAATTAAAGCTTAATAAATTATTTAAAAGTATTTATAAATACTTTTAAAAATTACCTAAAATAAGGCTATTATAGTAAATTAAGTAGTTTAAAGAGTATAAAAATATTATTTAAGTTAATAATAAAAAAGTATATTTAATAATAGGAAAAGAAGGGTTTAGAAGGTATTAATAATAAGAATTTCTTTATTATTAGAATAAAATTTTAATAGATAATAATAATAATAATATTAAGTACTTTAAAAGTTACTTAATTAATTTTTAATATAGATATATTTAAATAGATTAACTTTAATTTTATTTATTAAAATTTATAGCTTAAAAGTTATTAATATTTTTATTATATAATTTAAGAGATAAAATATTATATTAAGAGAGAAGGATTAGAGTTAAGGATTTAAAGCTTTTATTAAATTATATTAATTTATTTAAAAATTTAGTTAAAAAAGTATAAAAATTATTTAAATATAATTATTAAGTTAAGAAATATTTTTATTAAAGTTAGTTAGTTTATAAGTTAAAAGTTTTTAACTTTATAATTAAAAATTATAAAAAAGATATTAGTGAAAGAATTAAAGTATTTAATTATAATAATATTATAAATATATTTTTAAATTTTAAGGACCCTTTTTTAATTTTTATATAATTATAGAGTTATATTATTAATATAAGAGTTATAAATATTTATATTATAAAGTAATTATTTAATTAAATATATATTAATTAAGATTTTTAGTTATTATTAGTTATTTAGTAAATAGTTATTTTAAAAATAATTTATTAATAGTTAAATAAGTAATAAATATAAATATATTTAATAAAAATTTAAACTTTAAGACTTTTAATTTATATTAATAACTATTAAATAAAAGGTTAAAATAAAGGTAGAAATGAACTTTATATAAAAAATATAAATAATTAATAAGAATATAATTATTTTTTAAGTAAGTATTATAGAGTTAATTATTATTATTAAAATAAAAGGATTTCTATAATAATAGTATTTTATTAGATGGAATAATATATATATTAGTTTATTTAATAGAAATTTAAAGAATTAGTTTAATATAATTATAATAAATAATATTATAATTAAGTATTTATTAAAAGTTTTTTTAATTATTAAATAATTTAAATAAAGCTTAATAAAAAGAGTTTAATAATAATAGAGTTAGTTTTATTTTTTTAGAAAAAATAATAAAAATAAAATAAAGGAAAGTAATATTAATATAATTATTAACTTATTATTTAATATTAATTTATTTAAGGTTAAATATAGTTAAATAGCTTTAATAAAGCTATTATTATTATTACTATTACTAGTTTTTTATAAATTTAATAAACTTTTAACTTTATTACTATTAGTAATAATAATAATAATAGTACTTATAAGTTTATTATAGAGGTAAAGCTATTAATTATTTTTATTATTATTATTATAAATAAAAAAAAATAAAATAGTTTTATATTAAAAGTTTATTATAGAAGTATTTTAAAAATATTTTAGAAATTTATTAAAAAGGTTTAATTTAAGTAACTTATAAAAGTTATAAAATATAAAGGGCTTAACCTTTATAGGCTTTATAAAAAAATATTTAGTTTAATAAGTATAGTTTAAAGGTTATTTTATTAATTAAAATATTAATTAAGTTATATTTAAAGAGGAAAAAGATTTTATTAGTTTTTAATAATAATAATAATAAAAGGATTTATTATTATAATAAAATTATTAAATAATTACTTAATAAACTATTAAATAAATATTAAAAATATATATTTTATAAAACCTATAAGGGTTATTTAATTAATTAATTAGTTTTATTTAATATTAAGCTTTATAACTAAGTTAGTTATTTAATAAAAGAGTTAAGAGTTTATTAAAGTAGCTTTTTATATTTAATAAGATAAAGGAGTTATATAATAAGTTTTAAAGAACTTTTAAGTAAGGAAAATAGTAATTAAGTATATAGAAAGATATAATTAGTAATAAAAGTAGTTAAAAAGAAAAATTAATTATTTTAAGTAAATAAAATAAATTAAATATTTAGTATTAAGTAATTAATTAATTAAATAGATTTATTTATAATTAATTTATTTATTTTAATTTTAACTATTAATTTAATTATTTAATTTATAAATAATACTTTTTATTTATATAATTATATTTAATTAAAATTTTATTAATTTTAATTTTTATAATTTTAATTAATACTATTATATTTACTTTATTTTATACTTTTTCTAATATTTATATATAATAGAAATATTTTTAAATAATTTTAATTTTAAATTTAACCTTTTAAATATAAAAATAAAAATTAAGTAAAATTTTATTTAAATTATAATTTAATAATTTATATTAATATTAATAATATAAATAGTACTTTAAGTTATTAAAATATATTTTAATAAAATTAAAATTAAGAAAGTATAAAAATAAATATTTATATTTTATATTTTTATATTTATTATTTTAATTATCTTTATATTATAATATTATAAAGTATTATTTATTATAAAATTAACTTTAGATTTAAATATAAGTTTATTTTTAGTAAAATACTTTTATTAATTATTATAAAAGTATTTTTATTATATAACTTTTATATATTATAATAGTAAGTAAGTTATTAAATATAATTATAGGAAAGATATAAAATAAGCTTTTATTTAAGAAAACTTTTAATTTATAAAGTATATTTAATAGGTATTTAATTTATCCTTTTATACTATTTTATTTATTAAAATTAAATTTATTAATAAAAATAAAAATTTTATTATATAGTTTAATTAATATATTTATTAAAGGTAATAATTATAAAGTTTTTATTATATTAATAAATTAATATATATATTTATTTATTACTTTATATATAAGCTTTAAGGGTATTATTTATTATCTTTATAATAATATTAATTTAAAACTATTTAATAAAAAGTATTATATTTTATTAAGGTATAAATTTAATTTATTAAATAAAAATTTTTAACTTTTAATTTATATAATTTATATATTAATTAAGCTTTATAAACTTATTATAAAAAGTAAATTAATAAATTTTTAAAGCTTATTATTTTAATTTAATTATATTTAATAGTAATAATAATAATATATTTAAAGTAATTATATAGATAATAATAACCTTTTAATAATAACTTTAAATTATTTTATAATAATATTAGAATTTAATTTATAACTACTTATTAAATAATAATAGGTTAGAATATAAATAAAACTTTAATTATTAAAATTTAAATAGTAATAGGTAATAGCTAGTTATTATTAAAACCTCTTTTTTATTAATTAAGGAATATTAATAGACTAATAAAGGTATTCTATTAAGAAATATTAGATTTATTACCCTATTAGTAAAGTTTTAGTTTAACTAAAAAATAGAGGGTATTTAACTAGGGGGGGGTGCAACTTCGTTTTTCCCAGACAAAGGCTGTCAGATTACTTCTAGCGGTAGATAATAACGATGATGTGCAACAAGCTAAGGGAAGAATTCCTGTCACACTCCGTGTCAGCTCAGAACGTAAGCGAACGATCTCTCATTGGCAGTGAAGATTGAACCAAGTCTGTCTGCACGATAGCCGACCAAAAATTATCTTCCAATCTGATCGGCATTTCCTGCCTCACGTGTGCTTTCTAAAACCTGAGCACTAGGTTTCTGTTTGAACTCAGCGGTATGCTTCTCTTCTCCCACTCTACCCAGAAGTCCTCAATTCCTTCCAACTTGACCGTCCTAAGCAAGTCTCATAATCCCAGAATGTTAGATGTAAAGCAAGCCCCAAGAATACCTTTAGAAATGCAACAGCAGCGCTATCGCGTTCATCGGCTCCGGGTATCTTCTGCTAAAAGAAAGCACACCGAATGAGGTGCCTGTCCTGAGTCTTGAATCGCCTCTGAAGCGGAAACGGACGCAAATACTGCAGATCCGTCTGCTTCGTCAGGATTGCTGTCGGCAAATGCTTGCCCAGACTACTCTAGCCATCGTATTATTATCCCGAGGTCATCTGGCGGAGATTGTTGTTGGAGTGAGGTCTTAAACGGTGGCAAAGGAGTTGCGGAGAGGAATCTAGTCGTTGCTGCCGCTGATTCCCTGGAGGAAGACGGCATCAGGCGTGGGGCAGAGGGTTGTCTTGGCCTCATTGGGCAAATCTCGAATGGTATGGTGAATCGGTAGCACGAGATCTCTGTAGATTCTGTATTCGGCAAAGAGATGGTCAACTCCGTTGATGTACTGTAGCGCCGCAGGTCAGTTCTCATATCATGGACAATGGGGGACCGTCCACTCATCGTTCAAGAACGGTTTACCTGCTCGCAAAGCGTCTCTGGAAATGAATATCTCTCTTTTGGTAAGGGAGGACGCAAAAAGGGATGCAATAGAGCAAACAAGGACAAGGAGTAGGCACTCTTCAACACAGACACGGTTCTAGGAGGTACTCACACGAATGACCTGATCGACGCGTCGCGCAACTTTGCAAGCATTGTTGCGGCAGCTGGCTGAGCAGTCCAGGCGAGCTCTGAGGATAGCGAAGAACAGCTGCATGATGAGATCAGTGGAGCAGTTCGACGCCCAGTGCACTCTTGCCTTGATCAAGCGGAACACTTCGACCAAATTATCGCCGCCAGACTCCCAATCCTTGAGGTTGCGGCACTCGAAGAGCAGCTTCAGAAGCGCCTCTTCCACTGCGTCTTTGTCACGAATTCCATGTTTGTAGAGCTCCCAACGGAGGTGGTACTCGCTGCGAACGGTACGAAGGATACGGAAGCGGTCGTAAGCCATTCCTTGATGGTCAAAGAGCTGAAGCAAAGGCTTGGTATGGCGACGAATGTCTGCATTAGATAGGAAAGACATTTAATCCAGCTTGGTGTGGATGATCATGGGTGTGCTGGTCTTTTGGTTGATATCAGATCTGTTCGTGGGGGCTAAGGATGCTTGTTATGGTCTTTGATGGCGGTACTGGCTTGCAGGTGCTTCTTCATGCTCATTTAAATGTTGCTGGTAACACTGGCCCAGTTGAATCTGGCAGGAATGCAGTCAAAAAGCGAGATTGTCTTGAGGTAGGTCAGAGGGGTGGATAACTTGGGACCTGAAAAAGTTTGTAGGCTACCAGGCCAGGAAGATTGGGATAGGGGAAGGAAGAGTCAGGTCGAAGATTAACAAGGCCTTTGCAGTGTTCACATAGAGGAGTCAAGTTAATTGGGTGAAGCAAGCCGAGTGGAGGAACTCGTTCTCATAGTACATTCACTTGTCCTTCTGGGCAGAGGAACGGCAACCTCTTCTTGAGGAAACTTCAAGTTCCGTAGCGGGGCTCATTGCCCCAAGATGGCTCTCAGGTATCAGACATTGTATGTGCACCCCCGCTTTTCAGCGTGTTAGAATCGAAGTAGTGGGACTGGGGGCAAACTGAAAATGGTGTGTGGCTCCTGGCCACAACTGAAAGCAGAGCAAGGGCTTATTCCAGTGTGGAAATTCAGAGTGTCCAGTTCTGGAAAGCACCAAGCTGTCACAGGACACAATGTTACAATGAGATGACCTGGGTCTCGACTGCCAAAGACATGAGTGGGACAAGGCTAGTCCTCACTCATGCTGCTTGTGTAAATCACACCCACATTCCTGCGAAGGCCAAACAACGAATACTACTATTCTTGTGCCTGGATGCTAAACATCATCAAATACTCATAGCAGATCTGCATGTCTCGACAGGAGTGGTGAAAGAGAAACGGGGCAAGACTTCGATGGCATTGCCAAGAGGCCTTGAAAATACATCATCATCTTTATATAGTTCATCATGCCCTGAGTCTTCTAATCAATTCTGGTTCATTATTTAGGGACATATGTGAATTTGGTCTTCCATGGTCAATTTAACTGGGACCTTGTCACAGAGCAACTCCCAGAGATGGAAACATTGCAGCATGAACTGGAACGACTACCCACCCTGGGCAGTCCCCATGTGCAGACTGTCTAGTTGTATTTAGTGTTCTCTTTGCTGCCTTGATCCAGCTTGCTTGACTCCATGGTAATTTTGATTAACTTAGATGAGAGGCAAGCTTGAACTGGTCAAATGTGACGGTACAGCTTTGAAGGCTGCTAGGAATAAATCAGGCAGGTTGGTTATTACGCTCTTTTAACCAAGCAGTCCTTTGCTTTCGTAACAGTGGGAATACTGCAGCATCAAGCAACCAGAATCCCAACAGCAAGTATATCTGCTCTTTGAATTATCTATCATGAGAAGCTTGAACTCAAATATGCCTCACACAATTTGATTCTTATCAGCCCATTCAACATGTTCTGCCAGCTCAATTTGTCCGAAACATGTGTTATAGGTTTCACTTCAACATATCGGACAGCAGTGATCGCCAATAAGACCTTACTGAAAAAGCCTTGGTTCCAGAATTATGGGGACAGCGGATGTTTTGGCAAGAGGAAAATCCATCTCTGCACTTGGAACCGTGAAGGAGCCCATTCCGTGTGCCAATTTGTGCCTGTAGTAGTCTTCGAAAATGGCTTGGCTGGCTTGCCCAAGTTTCTCGAAGCATTCACCGGGGCGTTCCATCATCTGGTGATTAGGAGAAAGTGCTTGGTAATGCTTGACAGATTTCTTTGAGCGTGGAATACCTAGGACGGTGATCGGATGCAATCTGGGGGACGTCCGTCGTGGATACTCGAACCCGTGGACTTTGACACGAAACAGACGATATCAGACGATTCGGTCCCGCGACACACCAGCCACACATTTGGGCCCTCTCTCGGTTGTCCGAAGGTGTGAGACTTCCAATTCGAGTAATAAAACGTCGTATTTCATGGGTATCACGTATCGATTTCTCAATTAGTGACCTGATACTGGCTTCAAGTTCACAGCCCACACCCACTGGGCGGGCTCGGTGCGCTGTAGAGAGGTATGCGGCTGAAGCAAGGCCTGTTCCGGTAATCCCGACAGGCATTCTTGGTAGAATCGAGGTTGGATCAAATTCAGCTGAGGAACTTATTTTTAATGTCCTCTGATGCATGCAAACCCCAGCAACAGGTAATACAACTTGCCCGAGTTGTACCTCACCATGCGAGCCTCTGTCAACTGGTGGTTGCCCAAACTTTAATCAGCAAGCCTGAGTACATATGTAAGTTTGTATAAGTGTGTGGGTTGCGCCCTCAGGCCATTCTTCCCGGCGAGCAGTACTATGCCAACAATCAGCTCACCGGAGTGCCTATTAATTCGTTAGAAGTAAGCCAGCCTTCCAAGCAGTCATGTTGGCATACAGCTTCCTCAGCCTTGCGGTCTTGGCCGCTCAGTCTGCAGCTTCCATATTACCAAGACGTAAGCAATGTTTCCAGCATCACCAGCCTACATCGTGGTGATCACCTCTTTGCTGACCTGCCTCACAGAAGCGCCAACGCAGCCCAAACTCATCCCCATCGCCGTCGGGTCTATGAGCGTCAACACCTCCCTTATATTCACACCGAATGACGTGAAGGCGAATCCCGGCGACGTCTTACAGTTCCAATTCTTCCTTACGAACCATACCGTCACGCAGGCGGCTGGGCCGGCGAGCCCCTGCTCCCCGTTGCAGGACACGGTCCCTGGAGCACTACATTCGGGATTCATCCCGGGAGCGATGCTCAATGGGTCCGATACGGTTGGAGCTTTCGATGTAATGGTGCAAAACACGGAGCCTATGTATTTGTATTGCGCTCAAGGACCTCACTGTCAGCTCGGACAGGTCATGGTAGTCAACGGGTGAGTAATGGAAAACAACTTTATCCACATTGCCATTGTGAAAAGACTATGAACTGACATCTTCTTTCTACCAGGAAACCCGGTGATCTCGATGCTTACAAAACAGCCGCGAAGACAGCGGCGGTCAGCACCCCGGGGAAGGAGGTTGCGGGCGGCTCAGTCGGGCGGGTCCCAATGGCCAATGCTATTGTCCCGCCTGCTTAGGGACCTAGGTAGACGGCATTTGATCACATTGGAAGGGCAGGTCCCGGACGGTGTAACAGTTGTACATATGCGGATGCAGTACATACTTAGGTATGTGTGTCTATGCACAAGGCAGAAATACTAGCCCTGGAGGATACCAAGATCCACTCATCCTGCCGGAACAGGTCACGGCATTTTATCATATTGTCTTTCATGTAGTTATCTATGACCAGAGCGATGCACACAAGTGCGTCTGACGCTGATACATGGAAATATAACCACGAGGCAAATGAGATGAGTGGCCAACAACTCTGTACCCTCTGGTGGAAAACCTCGCCAAAGAAGTTATATAAGCCTGAGCTGAGGAAAATATGCAAGCCCATTCATTTGCCGGCATACCCAAGATCGTTCTTAGCACCATCGTGGCCGTACTGCCTCTCGGCCTTCCTCTTTCTCGATGCTTCCAACAAAGCCAGCACCGTCTGCGCAAGCTGCACAATGAAGAAGGGGATCAGATTATACTGCCAGCCCCTAGCGATCCTGTACACCCGCTGGATGTCATTCCTGTCGGTGTGGCTCGCGAGGTCCAGCTTCAGCAGCGCGTCGAACCAATTCTGCGGCGTCCAAGTTTCTGGCGAGTAGGCCTCGCCGTTCAGCCCTCTTGCCACCCCGAGATCGATCCTCTGACCGTCATGGGCATTAGCTACGGCAAAGGTGAACGCTAGAGCTCCCAGCGTCAACAAGAGCGCAGGGACGTTGAGCCCAAGCCACAGTCTGTACCAGCCCCGGCTGAAGATGCCAGCGAAGGATTTGGCGTGGTATGCCGGGCGGTCGCGTAGCCAGAGGGCGAGAAATCCGCAGCAGCCGATGATGATGAAGGCCGTTCCCGAGGCACCGTTACTGGTATGGCCCTGGTCGACGATGAGGTTTGCGGGCTCGCCTGAGATGGGGTATGTCGAGTCACCAGATACAACGTCGAATGTGCCCTTGGCACGTTGTGAGAGGAAGCCGACAGTGGCGGAGATGAGGGAGAGCTCGATTATGGAGACAACCATTAGGAGGCCGACGGAGACCTTGAGGCATATGGAGTTCAAGGTCATGGTGACGTTGGGTGGATTAATTGACCAGTGCTAAGGGTGTAGAGTATAGAGCAGCGGAGAGGTCCTCGAAGCACAATTACCGGGCCTCTTCTGAGGGAGAGACGTGAATCTGGAACCCATAACCAGAAAAAAACAAGCATTGCCGGAGCGACGGCAAACGCCTTTATAAGCCTAGTAAATCATGGCTCACATCGGGCAATGCAAGAGGCTGATCCAGAAATAGCCAACAGTCAGAAAGGCAAGCAGGGAGAGGTCAGAGGACCCAACGCAAGGTAGTAGCGCTGACGGGAAGTGGTGCACCACGACACACCCGCGCTGCTGCTGCTGCTGCTGCGCCGCAGGGAGCTGGATCTTAGTCTACAAAGTAGCCCGGCTGCTACTCAGCTCACGATGTCACCAAGCATTTCAAGTGCCGGGGTTGCTCATGGTGGAGGGTGACGCGCCCGCAGAGGTAAGGTTGTTGGGCAGCCAACCACTTGTGGAGATTTCGATCATTTCCTGGCCTCATATTTTTGTCCAATGCAGGAAGCCGTCCTGGTCTGTTGGTGATATGTGGACCTCTTTCTGGAGGCGGAAGTACGGCGCAGCGGAGGCAGGAATCACATGTGTGGAAATCACTTCCCTTTTTCTCTCGAAAACGAGTGCCTGGGTGGATCTCGGCTGGCGAGCTGACCGGCGAGTGGACCGAGCACTGCTTGTAGGATTGTGAACAGTGGGTGCTCACTTGTCAGCAACCAGAAGAGATGACAGACTGCGGCATTTCACGTTGCGGCGCAGTTCCTCGAGGCATCGAGTGTGGAACTTTGAGGCTACTTCCACTTTGAACGCACAAGCATATAATTAAAAGCAGACAGTTTCTGAGCAAGGCTGTGTACAGAATGTTGCGGAAGCCGCAAGGTGGAGCCGCCTCGGAAACCAGTCGGCTGAATCAGAACGCCAGCCAATCTCAATAGAACTGAAGCTTTTCTTGATGTCTGGCTACATCATTTTTTAATTTTTGGGGGAGACTAGCCCTCTTCAGCATCCATGTCGTCGCGCCGCCTCTTCCCACCCTTTCCGGCTGGGGCTGATCGGTGGCGGCCCTTCAACGTGGCGCCCTTCCTGCCACTGTCTCGGTCTGCGTGGAGGTTCTTCATCTCGTTCTTGGCATGGCGTTGTGCTTCCTCGACCCGGGCCTTGAAGACCATCACCTCCTCTCGCTCAGTAGGATACTCCTTTTGTTTGTCACTGAGAGCCCACTCGATCCTCTGGAACACTTCGACGTCGTACTGTAACTGTGTGAACAATTATTCGTCTCCCAAGGCATCATATACGGCTGAAAGCAACTCACCTGTGTCACGATATTGAGAGCGCGGCCGCTTTTGCCCGCTCGGGCCGTCCGGCCGACCCTATGAACGTACGTCTTGCTGTCACCGGGCAAGTCATAGTTCACCACAAGATCGACATTTGGAATATCCAGTCCACGTGCCGCAACATCCGTCGCTACGAGAATGTTCCTGTTACCTGTCTTGAACTTGTTCAGGGCACCCAGTCGATTCGACTGACTGAGCTGGCCGTGTAGGGGGATGGCCCCAAGTCCTAATGTACGGAGCAGGATAGCAAGCCGTTGGGTCTCATTGACGGTGCGTGTGAAGATGACCGCCGATCGGCCCGGGAACTCGACTGCCATCAAGTAGATCAAGTAGGTATCCTTGTGCTTGTGAGGAATGAAGATGTAGTTCGTGATCAGGGTCTTGACCGTCTGGTACTTGGTATCTTTGACGCTAATCCGGACCGGGTCGTGGAGAGACGCCCGCTGCAAGCTCTCGACCTTTGAGCTCATCGTCGCACTGAAGAGGAATGTGTTGCGTTCGCGGGGCAGGAATTTGAGGATTTTCTGTTGCGCGTGTGAGCAAACCGCCCAGCACCCACACTTAGACTATGCTGATGCACTTACGTCGATAACGGGGCCGAACTCGAGCTCGAGCAGCCTGTCGGCTTCATCCAACACCAGATACTTCAGATTGCGCAGGCTGAAGCCCTTAGTCCGCTCCATGTGATCCAAAATTCGACCAGGAGTTGCGACGATGATGTGTGGCTTCTTCCCCAGGGCAATCTGCTGCGGTGTGAACTCCATGCCTCCCACGATAGTGCAGACTCGTAATCGTATGACTGCGCCCAGAGCCTCGAACGTCTTGCCGATCTGGAACGCCAGCTCTCGCGTTGGGGCGAGAACGAGGGAGTAGAAGGGTTGCGGGTTGTCGAGCAGCTTCTGCAGGATGGGCAGGGCAAACGCAGCGGTCTTTCCGGAACCCGTCTCTGCGAGGCCGACTATATCTCTACCCTGTAGGGCGACGGGGATCGACTCGGCCTGGATTTGAGTGGGATGCTCGTATTTCAGCGATGCGCATGCTTCGGCGAGGGTGTCGACGACGCCCAGGTCCTTGAAGGTCTTGGAAGCCTGGGCATCTTCAGCAGATCCTATCTCCTCATTCTCAACGTCCGAGGCATCGGAGCCCTCAGAAGACTGCGGGGATGCGGCCGAGGGTGACGCTGGACCAGGAGATGCGTGGGAGATCTTCTGTCGCTTCGCCGACTGCACAGCCGACATGGTCGCGGTGCAGGGCAAATATGGCAAACCGTGGTTGTCTCAGTGGCTTCTCGCAGAAGCTGGGAGTCTTGTAGGCAGTTGGCCGCTGTGTTGTGCGAACAAGATCGATTTGCCGGGTGGGATGTGTTGTGTGCAGTTGGCGGGTGATGATGGAGGGGGAACGGCAGGAGGCCATCCGCAGTCCTCGGGATTCAATCTTTTTTGTGGGTCTACCAGTGCTTCTTAGCGCGAGAGCACATGTTTGAACCGGCTTTGCAGGGCTTGACTTGGCTTTTAGAGGACTAGGGGGCACCTGGGGGCACCTGGGGGCCTGTCCTTTTTGGAGACTCACGACAAGGCAGGGATGCTTATCCATCTTATCGTTGGGCCCCACCTGAAATTTTTCTGGGAGAGCTACTGCAAAGTGTAGCAACCAGCCTGCCCTCAAACAACTCTGGGCCACAAGACCTGCGTGCTCTCCTCGTTGCAACCACCAGACAACAACCACAACCACAACCACACCACGCAACACAATGGCGAAGAAGAGGGTCAAGAAGAGAACCCATGCTGCGGCAAACCCCAATGCCAAAAATGGCGCCCCAGTCTCAGCAGGCAAGATCGACAAGAACGACCCAAAGAGCATGGTCATCCGGATCGGCGCAGGCGAGGTTGGCTCGAGCATCAGCCAATTGGCCACGGATGTGCGCAGGGTGATGGAGCCCGGTACGGCCAGTCGACTGAAAGAACGAAAGGCCAACAAGCTGCGAGACTACGTGACAATGTGCGGTCCTCTGGGTGTCACGCACCTGATGCTCTTCTCGAGGTCGTCGTCCGGAAACACCAACCTACGTCTGGCGACCACGCCCCAAGGCCCAACACTCAACTTCCGAGTTGAAAAGTACTCGCTGGCAAGAGACGTCAAGCGCGCACAGAAACACCCCCTGGGTGGCGGCAAGGAGTACATCACTCCACCATTGGTACGCTCTGCTCCGTCAAACTGGCCATGCGGACATCTGCTGACCATTTTCAGCTCGTCATGAATTCATTGACCAGTGAGCCTGGCAAAGGCTCGGAAAAGATACCCCGACACCTCGAAACACTTGTCACAAGCGTGTTCCACGGCCTCTTCCCACCAATCAACCCCCAGGTTGCGCCGTTGAAGTCCATCCGTAGGGTGCTGCTTCTCAACCGTGAGCGATCTCCAGAAGATGACGGTTCTTACATAATAAACTTCCGACACTATGCCATCACAACCAAGGTCACAGGCGTCTCGAAGGCTGTCAAGAGGCTGAATGCGGCAGAAAGGTTAATGAACAGCAAGAGCCGGAAGGGTAAACTCCCAAATCTGAGCAAGCTGCAGGACATCGCAGATTACATGATAGGGGGCGAAAATGGCGACGGCTACACCACCGATGCCACCAGCGGTAGTGAGGTCGACACAGACGCCGAGGTGGAGGTGCTCGAAGCCGACAAGCGGAAGAAGGTCGCAGCAAGACGGGCTGCTGCTGCCGCCGCGGCAGCCGAGGAGGACGAGGAAGAGGACGAAGCAGCCGAGTCCAATGACAGGGTGGAACGTCGGGCAGTCAAGCTTGTCGAACTGGGGCCGCGCATGAAGTTGCGATTGACCAAAGTCGAGGAGGGGCTCTGCGGCGGAAAGGTCCTGTGGCACGAGTACATCAACAAATCAAAGGAGGAGGTAAAAGAACTCGAGAAGATATGGGAGAAGCGCAAGCAAGAAAAGGAGGCCAGGAGGCAACAGCAGCGGGAAAATGTCGAAAAGAAACGCAAGGCGAAGCGGGGCCAGAAGGGCCAGAAGGATGGAGAGGCAGAGAGCGACGACGGCGAGATGGACCTCGACGACCTTGGGAGTGACGCGTACGACTACATGGATGAGGATGGCTTTGACAGCGAGGGACTCGAGGGCGACGCGGAGGCCATTACGAATGAGCAGGCTGAAAACAAGGGGGAATGGGAGGACGAAGAGGAAGAAATAGCGAACGGCCACCGATAGGCAAATGCGAAGCCGAGGCGCTTTTCCGGGCAGCAATTCTACCTACCATGACAGAGGAATCTAATTATACCCTTCCTGCCCAGGCCTATGAAGAAACATCAACCGTCTTTTCCAGACCCTCTTCGCCTTGTTTATCCACTTCATCTCTAGGCTCGACATTGCCACCGTCGACATCTCCGTGCTCAGACACTCCCTGAGAGACACATCCACCTGATTCACGCAAACTGCCCTGAAATTCAACCAGTAGTGCGATGGCTGCACAGAGAAGAGACATCGACGAGGAGGCGAACACGAAGCACCGGAAACCCTTGCCTAATCTTCTTGTCAGCAAATGCGCGTCAACTTATTGGCCAGAATCAACGACTCACCCTCCGCCGTGATTCCAAGGGCGAGTATGACAAAAAGAAAGAGCGGTATCTTCATCAGGCCGTAGATCCCGGCGCGGCTCTTACTATCCACCACCAAACCGCGCATGTACGCCATGCTGGGCACATATATACCATTCGCGACCTCAAACGTCAGGAACGCGTAGTAGAGCGCGACCTCGACCTGAAGGACCGACAACAGCAACAGGCTGAGGCAGGCCAGGGCAATGGCACCCAATAGGAGCCATACTGGCGCAGCGGGAGTCCTGATTGACTTCAGCGACGCGTTGAAAACGAGCGCACCGATGATCATCGCGGCCATGAAAGACCCGAAGATGACACCGTAGGGTATCTCGGCAGGGCCAGCATCGGCAGACGAGGCTTCATGCGCCCCCTGCAAGACGCTCGGCCAAAGAAAGATGACAAGGTACGCCGTGCCCTCGAAGCAGCACGTCACAAAGGTCAAGGCCCAGATACGGCCATCTGGATTCTAACATTAGCAGGGATATGGACAGAACGATCCCGTCGGGCACTGACCCCCAAGCCGTCCAGTTCGACTCTCGTCAGGCTCAGCAAGCTGGCGGTCGTCTCCCTGGAGCTGCTGGCTCACACCGAAATTCTCGTTCTGTCCGTGCCGTCAGTCTCATTTTTTTGCGTGTCTCAAGATTGTGCATGCCTACCCATCGCCTCAGCATCAAGACCGCCGCGACACCCTCGCAAACCTAGAGAGACCCGTCAGTCTACTGCTATACTCAATAGCTGCTAGCATCTCAGGGTTGCCGGATGGGAAGGGCTCACAATTCCCGCCCAGAATGGCCACATCTTCGACCCCATCGCCGAGACCATGCAATGTCCAAACAGTCCGCCGACGATGGCAGCCATACAATTAGTCCTGGTCATCACACCAAACATCTCGCTGAGCCCCCCCTCCGCACCGCCCCGGCCCAGGCCTCTTGCGTTCCACTCCGTCACCATCCAACTCTCGAACACGGTCCACAGCAGCGTCAGCGCCGTGCCCGCCAGCACCCTTCCGAGGAACAGCACAGGGAGGCAGTCGCCCCCGAACACGACCGTCAGGCAGGCCAAGGAGTGGATCACACACTGCGCCAGGCACGCTTTACGCCGCCCATATCGGTCTGCGAGGAAACCCACTGCCAATGCCGAGACTGCCGCTGACGTATACGCGGTGGCGTAGAGCCCGATTACGACGGGCTCCGGAAGACCCCTGTCGTCGCGGAGGAGTGCGTACAGGTATGGGCCGGAGAGCCATTCGGAGGACATGACGAGGAGATATATGCTCAGGAACCCCCTCCTAAATCTTTTGAGGTCATCGCCATTTTTGGTTCCTGGGTCCGCCCCGTCATCGACCGGTGGCAGTGACTCATACTCGGGTGGCTTCTCCTCGGTGTCGACCTCTTGCCACTTCGACCGAATCCGTGCAAATGGCCGAGCTATTATATTGCGACCTGTCAGGAGTACCACAGTCGGTAGGATGACCAGGAGAGTCGTCCAGTAGATGTCGAGTTTCATCGTGGATAGACCTGGTTCTTCCGGTGATGGCTGTTGACCTAGAAGTGAGCCGAGTGTAGAAAAGTAATCACGACCAAGGAGGATGTGTCCATTTGATTACTTCCCATCCTAATGTGTTGTTATTTCCGTTCTCAGGACATTGGCATGGTGGCGTTTCATTCCTGTCGCGCCCTGCATGTCTCACTGAGCGCTGGTAGCCATGACCACGAAACCACCCAGGCATGGTCTAGGTCCCTTTACAAACGAGTTCTCTGTAGATCGCTCTGAAATATTGGGCCAAGGCTAAATTGATAAATACTCTAATCGGAGCTATGGGAATGTATGCATCCAACTTTGGAGGTCTGCCACATCAGCGCCCAATGCTGCAGGAAAGCAAAATCATGGTCGAGATTTCATGCTAACCGATCACTGCGCATAGCTCATCCGGAATGATCAATGATTCGGAATTTTAAAGAGGTGTCTCATTCTTCTAATGCGCGCTGAAATCGTCGGAAACAGGTGTCAGCGCCATGAATTGGCTTGAGTGCCGTGGGAATTACGAGCTCAGCATCACGTCGAACTTGACGGGAGAGGTTCCTAGGTACCATTGTCCTTGAGCATTACCTGTCATGAGACAAATTGTCGTGGTCTGAGTGCATTTTAGGACGCCTCTCGCTTTTCCCTCTTCCTTTACCTTTTCGCAGCGTTTCCCAGATCTTGGTACCATTTCGGTGACACTGGCTGCACCACCTGGGCAGTAGGCGGAGGGTCCTGTCAGTCTCCCAGATACAGCGTGGTGAAAAGGGGTTGAAGACAGGGAAAGACTTTAAAATCAACGATCAGCATGGAAGTCATCTAGAAGTGGCAGGACGGCAAATTGTGAGGGTTGGAGCTATCCAGGGAGATCGGAGATGAGCACTCGCAGAACGGAGAGTGGACCTGCAGGCCCGAGCCCATGAGGTAACATTGAACTTCCTAAGGATTTGAAGTTTGTGATCGCAGCAAATGAAGTAAGAAAATGCAGATGTAGTCTGGGGCCAGTCCTCGTAGTACTTAGGTACTGGATGTGCCAGCCTCCAGGGCTGCTGCTTAACTCGAACGGAGTTCAATGTTCGTCTGAAAAGCTGTCTGCCTAATCCATCTTTTCCTTCCAGCATCGCCCATAAACCTCCAATTTTCGAAGCTTTACGTCTGACTCTTTGGCCTCTTTTCACTTCAGGAACTATCACGGTTCTGTTTCCTATCTGCTGGACAAGTGTTCTGAGGTGCCCAACTTGGGAAGACTTGCCGTTGTTGCCAGGAGCGTTCACTTTCTTTCGGTCAAGTCACTTTCCGGCAGACCTTCTATTTCCTGGTTACTTTTCTTCCTGCCTACGCTTGTTTTTCACTTCCTGAAACCGTTGGCCTTTGCGTCACCTTTGCACAGGTTGTACTCCACACCGCAACTTCAAAGTTGTTCTTTCTCCTCGGTTTCACAGTGGGCTCAAGAGCTCACTAGACATGGTCTTATGTCGCCCTAATCGACACCTGGGCACCAAAAAAACTTCAAACCTGTCTTTACAAAGTCCTTCCACCAATCCCAGCCACTCTCAGGCAGCAGGCGCTGGACCTCGCCTGCCCACGAAGCCTCTTGTATCGCAAGAAGCAACCGTCTTGCCCATTCTACCTTGTACCGGCTTTCTCAGCACTGTTTGCCTAAAGTTACGGTTTCTTCAGCTTCTCAAAACCAACCACGATGTATCGTAACCCTCATCCTCCAGGCTCAGTTCGGCCTCCAGGGTCCGCCAGACAACCCATCGCCTCGTCTAGAGGCAGAGGTGAAGATGCTTATGCTCGACAGCAGAGTCTCCGGCGTCAGGCAGGGATGCAAGCTCAAAGGGAGGCTGCGCTTCGCTCCAGCGAGAACGCAACTGTGGACAGCGATGACCAGCAGCGTTTCGAAGATTTCGACCTCGTTGACATCACTGAAGAAGTTCGTTCGCAGCAAGTCTCGAGTAACTCCCACGCTGCAAGAAATGCGCCTCTCATTTTCAGCCATCGGGAAGCACCGATGTACAAATTTGGAGATATGGACCTCAAGCCGGGCACCTGCGTGGAGCTTCGTGAGCCATTTGGCAACTGGAAGGTGAATAGTGCCCACCGTTCTTGTCGCTATAGTTTTTGGATGTTGCTAACTGGTCTAAAACAGGCTCAATTTGTCGATATCGGGTCCATCTGGGTTTCCAAATCTGATGGCAGCGTGATCATCCGTGGGCTCGGATACACCCGCAATCGCAACCTGCGCGGCATGCTGAAGAAACGGTTAAATGAAGTGAGCCAGGTCCTCGAGACCGAGTTTCACGATCAGCGCCCTGCAAATGTTCAATGTCAAATCGAGTTCAGCCCTAAAGACATCTTGAGACTGCGGACACTTGTCAAGACAAACGCTATGTGGGACGTTTACAACTACGTCAACTACCGACGGTGGCGCAATAAGACAGTCCAAGAGCGGGAGACAAAAGCACCTTTGGTGTGTCGCGGGAAGTTCTGCGTACAGTATCGGGACGCTCGCGCCCGAAGAGACAACAAACCTAGCCACGACAGAGCATACATCCGATTGAGAGAGGCAGAGGCTGATGAGGGAAAACGCGAGTCGGACAAAGCACTTAGATTCAACTGGCGGGGCAAAACCCAACGCGGCGGTTCCCACAAGCCCTCTGCGTCCGGACAAGACCAGCGATTTACATTTGGTGACACTTTCTGCGGTGCGGGCGGTGTTTCCCGTGGCGCAGTCATGGCTGGTTTCAAGGTGAGCCTCCGCTGTTTGAATCCTTGATCTCAGCTAACCAAGCTGCTGGCAGCTTGTATTTGGTGTGGACAACTGCCCTGCTGCCTGTGCGACATATCGACGCAACTTTCCAGGTGCCCATACGTTTGAGCAACACATCACTGACTGGATTAATGATGCTGCAATCCACTGGACGACTCACCCGATTGACATCCTTCATCTGTCCCCACCATGCCAACCTTTCAGTCCACAGTCGTACTCGCATGCAAGTGCTGGGCGAGTAAATGAGCTAGCCCAGGACGCATTCACCGCTTGCGAGAAGATCATCGACAAGTGCCGCCAAAGGTTGTTGACCCTCGAAGAGACATTTGGGATCACACACGATACGCACGAAGGGTTTATGAATAATCTGGTCCAAGGCCTCACGGAGCTAGGATACTCCGTGCGCTGGTGAGTCTTCAAAAGAACGTTTACATTGCAGCCTAGGCGCTCAAGCTAACGAGCCATATTACTCATTTAAAGGAAGGTGGTTCCCCTCGTGGAATACGGTTTGCCACAGACTCGGAAGAGGTTCATCATGATCGGTTCCTGCCCCGGAGAGCCGTTGCCCCCGTGGCCCCCGGCTACCCACGCCCGGACGCCGACTGGAAGTCAGAAGCCTTTCGTGACGGAAGCTCAGGCCATTCGAGGTCTCAGCCGCCGAGACCCACTGCACGATGTGGCACGCGCCACCCTTCGAAACGACCAGCCACGTGATGGCAATGCTCCTCTGCCAAAGACCATCACATGCGGGGGTGTTCAGGGCGTCTCACACTTCAGTGGACTCCGCGACTACACGTTGCGTGAGATTGCTTGTCTACAGGGCTTTCCAGTCTCGCATCAATTCGAGGGCAACAAAACCCAAATAAGAAAGCAGATCGGCAATGCTTTCCCTTCCTGTGCTGTGAAAGAGATCTATGACCATCTCCGGGCCTGGCTGGAGAAGGTGGATGGTGTCCAGAGGGCTCCTCCCACCCATGCTGAGGCGCCGCGCGTCCCAGCACCACGACGTGCCGGACCACCAGTTGTCCGTCCCCGAGACTTACCATCCGAGGCAAATGTTCGCATCAATGGAGACCTCACGGAAGAGGAGGCCCTGGAACTGGCCTTGCAAGAGAGCAGGTCGGAATCCCTCCCAGCTGCTTTCATCGTGCCCTCAGTTGAGGAGGACCGGCAGGACACACCCGTCTCTGATGAGGTTGGCCCTCTGCTAGAGCGGATGAGCATCGCGCCATTGACCCAGGGAGAGGGTTCACCCGATGACAACATCTTGAGAAGACGAAGCCACACCCTCGGCCGCAGCGCGACTCCCGGCCCGAGCCACCACGCAGAATCTGCCCCGCAGAAGCGTAGCCTGGACTCAATGCACGACGGGGACGCCGACGAAGTCATGAAGGAGCAATCACCCCCAAAGCGCGAGAGGTTTGCTGGTACCGGAAACTCCAATGACGGCGGTGTTGACGACCGGAAGATTCCAAGCCGACTGCCTCGGTACTTGAGACCTCAGAGACCATGTGATGTTGAAGTCGACAATGTTGCTGTTGGCCAGCGCGGTTCGGGTTCTCATGATGATCAGCTCGATTGGGACTCTTGGACGCTCTGATGGGTTCTGAATGGTATGTTCACTCTTGTCAGCTGAGGTCCCGTGGCCTTGAGATAGGGAAGGCCATCTGTAAGATCGGGCCGATCCACCTCGTTCTTGTCTCTCGAGAATGCCGACGCAGGTGGAGCACTGTACTCTACGGTCGGGTACAGTTGACCAAGCTTTCCCGACCGTGGGAGGTCACATTCATCTGAATGTCATTCGTCCGGTTGCCACCGCTGGCACAGCCCTAGTTACTACCCATCGATGGCACCATACAGTTACTTCTCTAGACGCCTTTGTCTTGGACGCATGTCTAATCGCAGCTCATACTTCAGATTAGTTCTGTCTAGAGCCAGGAATTCAAGATCCGTTAGATTACATGACATACTTGCCATCCTTCGTTCCAAGATTATCAGGCGACAGTCGACAATCGACGAGTCTGCGCCGGCGCTTATAGTGCCCAAGATGACTTGTTCATCAAGTTGACGCGTGCCATTCGTGCGGCATTTTTGTCAAGAGCCATCCATCCTGGACAGCTCGAGTTTCCTGAGTCTGTCTTGGGAAGGTTGCAAGCTCTAGAACAGAGCGCTTGCCCTCTTGCTCGGGACCGAGCGGCCATTGACTCGAGCGAAGACTGTGGCAAGTGACGCTACTTGTCGATGCCTATTTTTATGGCCGGGATGCACCATTTTTGGAGAAGATGCTGCGGGCGGCGGCGGCGACCATGGGAGGAGGACGGAGTGCATAATTGATGCCTTGCACAAGACCTCACTAGGCAGCTCGTGAGAAAGAACGCGGTGGAGGCGCGGCTCGCGATGCTGCAACAGATGCTCTAGACTGCGCTGCTACGGCTTTGGGATGGGCGAGAAGTAAAATTGGCAACGCATTGACCCGACGTGGACTATTGTCTGGTGTTATGAACCAGGGTGCAGGTCCAATACCCCTCCTGGGGCCAGTTCTCGAAACGCAGGCCTGAGTCGCCATGACACAGATCTTCTCGCCAGCCAAGGTCGATTCCGCGTCGGCAATGTGAGAAGCCTTTCTTGGAATTCCGCCCTCGCCAATAGCGGACAAGAAAATTCCAGCCACCTGTCCCGGGGCTTACTTCTGGGTTACTTAGCACCTCATTCGCACACTTGCAGGGAATAACTGATCAAGTTGGTGGTGTTCGGGCCAGCGCGAGAACGGGCCAGACATTTGGAGCGTGACTGGGCAAAACATACCCAGCAGTTCTAGCCCTGCCTGGGCTAGGCTTAATAGATGAAAAGAAGCTTCGCAGTTACAAGAGGTTCAAGCCTCGGCCTGTGGCTTGTTTGAGGGCCTGAGGGCCTGAAGGACTGGCTTGGCTCTGGCTAGCGACCGATCTCCCGGAATCTTGCTCGTGTAAGCGCGGGCTTGGATATGGCCTCGCGGGCTGGGCGGGACCTCGGGAGCGACCTCGGCGAATGGGCCCAAGGCGGGCCTCGACCACACACTAGAACAATATCTGGGGTATATTCCACCCAACCGCCCACGCCCGCACGAAATCCCGAGAATAGCCTCTCACACGCCTTGCTGAAGCCCCTTGACTCAATGGTCAAGACGTGGCGCGAAGTCAAATTGATGGCCCAAACCAAGCGAACGGTATTATCTGAGCCAGACAGCCAGTCAGCCGGTCAGCCAGCCCAGTCATGTTAGGCTTCGGGAGGCAAAGGCGTCGACAGCTTGTGTGCTTCAGGTTTACGGAGGCGTGACTCGGCCCAGGGACCAGAAGCAGCGTGGTCTTCCGTCCGGACAAGATCAACACCATGCCCACGGGTGCAGGGTCGGATGAGAGTAGTCTGAATAGAGGCCAGCCGGCCGGCCTCTGGAATATCCACTGCCGCGGCTACACTGTCCAGTGCTGTTGACACCAGCTCGCTTGTGTGGGGTTCACGCTAGGGAGCGCGGCGATGGCGCGGTGAGAGTCGGCGTGGGAACAGATGAAGCAGCACGGAGTCCTCCTCCGTACCCACGCAAGCCTTTCCGACAGATCTCTTGGGTAGCCTTGAAATATGGGCCCAGGCACTCGCTACCCTCTAGCTGCAGCGGCAGACATGAGCTTGGTACGGCAGAGGGAGGGCTGCAAGCCGGCGCCTGGGCGTGCAGAGGCGTGGGCATGTTTAGAAAGAGTCGCACAGAGCCTCTTGGCGGCGTCTCAGCCGGGGAGAGCCACGACAGCACACCAGGCAGATCCGGCCAATACTAAGCTGGACAGGTCCCGGAAAAGCGAAGCGCACAAGGACGCACTGGGCTCGTCCAGACAGCCCTCCCCACAAAAGCACCCCCATCGTAGTGAGAGCCAAGTCCGTAAAAACATGCAACGCGTCTCAGAAGCTTTTCTTGGCGACTTGGCCGTCAAAGACCAGACGCCAAGTGGTGAGCCCGCTATGCATACCATGTCGTCGACTCTGACTATTGCCACCATGCCGGTCCTGGCCTCACACTGCGTGCTGCCTGGCAGCCCTGGGTATGCCCTCCTGCTCTTGGATTCGTTTCGACCCGTTTCAACCTGTCGTTCTGCCATCGCCGTCCTGCCGCATCCCATCTTGCCCCAGGCCGCCGTAGATCACCGCCAAGAGATCAAGAATAGGAACCGAGGGCGCACCATACACACCACCTCATACACGCTGATGACTTGGCTGCCGGAGCGCTCCCAAGCCGTGCGCTCCCATTCGAGGAGCCCTCGCCCCGGCGACAAGACCACCGATCCGAGTCAAGCCCTCTCTGGGTCCTCGTAGGATAAAACTCTATGTCGTCCCAACTTTGTTCTCACGAATGAACTCCCCTCTCATCCACACGAGCAGCGCTCTTACTATTCAGTCCTTCACTTCTTGACCAAAGATCCGGCATCTCCCTACTACTTTCTAAACAACACAGAAGCTTTCTTTTTTAATATCTCCCCACACCCCGTCTCCGGTTTCCCATCTTCCTCTCGGGTTCCACTTCAAGCCAGTTTAGATCCACACTCTCTCTCTCACCAGTCCGCAAGACTCCAAGTCGTCGTGATATAATACCCGCTGCCCAGCCATATCAAAGAAACAAAACAAAAATTACCGCCAAAATGAAGTACAGCCTCGTCGCCTTCCTCGCCGCCACGGCCACCGCGGCCCCACTTAACATCAACCTGGGTGCTTACTCTCCTGCCCTGGTGGTCGGTGATGGTGAGATTTCTTTCGCCGGGGGCGGAGCCGCAGGGGCGGAGGGCCTCGTCAACACCCTCCAGGGTGCCGCCGCCGCCAGCAACGGAGCCGTTGCCCAGGGCCAGGCCGTCGCCCCCGCCGGCCAGGGTCTCCAGCAGGCCTCGGTCATCAACGAGCCGGTAAGGTCCCGTTCTCTTGGTATGTCTATCCCTTTACAAGCGTTGGCTTACTAATTGTATTCTGTTTCCCCCAACTAACAGGCTTCTCTCCCCATTCCAGGCGTAACTAAGGAGCTCGACCCCCGCCAGGCTGAGGAGGAGGAAGAGGATGAGGAGGTTGCCGAGATCGAGGCCCGGCAAGAACCCGAGGGCGGCCTGCAGAAGCGCCAGAACGGCTTCGACCGCGCCCTAACCTACGCCGAGGCCGCCCTCCAGAAGGGACCCAAGATCCAGCTCGGCACCCCCGCCGCCGGTGTTGGTATTATCGTCGACAACAACCAGCAGGCCGCTGGACAAGTCACCCCTGCCGAGTAAAGAAGCCGATGTCTGCTATGACTCAGAGCACTTTGTTCAAACGAAGATACCTTAATTTGCTTTATCTTATACTCATTTTCTTTTCACGTGCCACGATGGAACTTTTGGATGGATGAGTGGTTGGTTGGACCTACGGGTCGCAACGCACGGGGGTGAAGTCTGCGGGCTGGGAGGGACTGGTGTGGAGGTTAAAACTGGTCTTCACGATATAAACCTACTTGGGGTTTCGTGGTGTAAAGCATAAGCGGCAGCTTGGTTGTTAATTGCGACATGGAATTCCCCTATTGTCATTTAGACCCGCCTTAATTTGGCTGCAGAGTTACGATAGAGTCAATCGCATTAAATCAATTAATTTTCCGAAAGGAATTATTGACCTATGATTTCATTGCAGGCAACTAGTAACTGCTATACTGGATGGGGAAAGTTCTTAAAAGTCAATTACTGAGGCGGCGGGCTATTCTAAGCCTGCTTGTCCGCTCCGTGAGACATGCTCGAGTAAGGTTAGATATCCGTTTCACCTCCCTCGCCATCGGATGCTTCATATCGGCCTTGGCAGGTGGAAGGACAACAGAAAAAACGGCTCGCACCAAGTGTGGCGTTTCAATTGCAGGCGAGCACGCCACATCTGGAACTTGGCCTTCAACTCACTTACCCGAAAGCCTCGAGTGAGGAGAAATGCGAATAATGCTGCTAAGAACCTGAGATGAAGTGGGTGCCGAAGATTTTACGAGAACATGCATCTCGTGCGTGTTGTCCCGTTGACGCTCTTTGTATATCATGGTCACTCACAAGATATCAGCGTTGGCTCGGCCAGCTGACAATATGCGAAGCAGTTGCATCGCTCTTACTAGCCGCATATCAGACAGAGATTTCAGTGGGAGTCTTCTGGTTGTCGGTATGGTGGTACATCCCGCCAGCCAATGGTACTAATTTGCTCGAGTTTCCCGATACCGAGACCTCCGTCAGAGCAATGATCCGATATGCTGCCAGCGACCGTAAATGCCTACGCCTGCGATTGAGCAGCTTACTTAGGAGCTCGGCGCCCCTAATCTATCTTCTGTGTGCGGATTTTGTTCTGAGACCTCGAACCCCCAACGCATCACGCTCAAACTTCCCTCACTTGATTAGATCTGTCTCTCGCTAGTAGCCTTCTTTGTGCGGCTTTCGCATGGTCAATTGTGTTTTCTGGACTAGGTGCCACAATTGTAATTTCCACTCTTGTCACCGAAATTTCACCTTTACTTACCACTGAGTCCGAGATCATACTCGTTAATCATTATATGAAGGCGACCGAATTTAGGCTCGTATTTCTATGGATCATGAAAAAAACCATCTTATCAGCTTTATAGCTATTGCAAAATCCAGGGTTCATGATTTCCCGCATTCTGACATCGCCTATTTCATTCATGGAAAGGTCATTACGGGGACGCGTGGATCTGCAACATTGAAATGTGCCAACGCAAGCTTAATCTTGTAAATGCAATAACTAAGTTTGGGCATGGCTAAACTTGGATGATCGATTGAGGCAGGATCCCAGACCCTGTCGTCAAACACCAGAGCCTTTCTGTCTCCGAAGGTCTGGACGGCCCCTTGGTGATTGGGCTCATCAGATTTTGAAGGTTGGTTTGATCTTTTGGTCCCGCGAGTTCACCTTGGAAATATCCTGAAGACAGATTGAGATCGTGTGTTGTCTTTCATTGAGCAGATGCACAGTCTCGCGTCATAACAACGTCTGAAGCTGCTGTCCGACCGCGAGCTCGCACGCATCTCCGGTGTCCTCCAGCTCCCCGAGATCCCGCCACTACCCCCGATCATGGGGGAATGAAAACGACAATGCACTCCCATTCCGTCGTTGTAGTATTTGACCAAGGCGTTGCCTTGGGATCTCCGGCAAATGATTCAGTGTTGTACCGGAATGATACGTCCTGCTGCGAGGTAATACCACCAAGAGCACAGAACATTGAATATATCGGATGGCATGTGCTGGAAATCTTATTCTTCGGATTTACAGCGTGATGGTGGGTTCATAATGGTACTGTAACCCTGCGCGGCTCAACGTCAATGTTGAATGGGCCCACAGCTGGTCGGGCATCTGTTAACAGCCACATATGCATCCAGTAATCCTTCAAGTAGATCCCTTGAACGCCCAGTCATAGCTCCGGCTATTTTTCATTCATCAGGTATCAGCTCCCTAGTCCCGTCCCAGGGGGTATCGGCCAACACATGTATGCACAGAGCCTTTGATACAATGTCACTTGCATGCCGGATTCGTAAAGGTGCCCTCCACGATGGGTTGCAATATCTTATTCATGTGGGTCTTCACATTTGTGGTTTTTTAAACACCTGGAATGATTCACCAATGCTTGATCACAGTCACTGAGGTGGAACGAGTCGATTGCCAACATTGCTCGGCGGTGTGAATTCCACTTGGCTCTTAAAGGTTCAAATGCTTAAGTGTTGCCTGCTCGCGATGTGAGTGCTGAGACCACTGCTTATCTTGTTCATCATGAAATATGCGAGCGTACCTAGGTACGTATATGTCCATCTGATTGTACATAGTCACGTCGCCCGCCGACAGTCCCAAACGTGATGAAGGCTGGGCTGCTGGACCACTGGACCATAAATGGAATATGCTCGAAGCTTTTGGAGAACGGTGATGTGCCAATATGGCGATTGTGTGGTTTCGCTTCTATTCCGTATACGTCCGAGGACATACATGGCGCCTTCATACGGTGGTAAGCACTCAAGACCATGGCGATTGTATTATGTCTGTTTCCTGGGGTTCAAGCATCAGGTCGACTCCTGAATGGGGTTGGCTGTTAAATCTCAAGCCACCTGCATGGAGTAGTGTGGTTAAGTAATATTTATTCCTATAGCTTACACAATATTTAAATATAATATTTAAATATTACACTATTTTTTTTAATATTTAAATATTATACTATCTTTTTTAATATTTAAATAAAAAAAGAGTATTATTAATACTTAATAGTTTTAAGTTCTTTTTTTTAATAGAATAGTTATTAGTTTAAATTTTAAAAGCTACTTTTTATAACCCTCTTTTATTATAAAAGTACTTTAATTTTAGTATTAATATTTTATATAGCCTAAATCCTTTATTTTAAATACCTTATAGTATTCTTAAATTAAATCTTTTTTATTTTTAATTAATTTATATATTAAGTATATATTACTATTTTTATTTTATAAAAATAATTATAACTTTAAGTATTATATTAAAACTTTTTTAATATTTTTATTATTTTAATATTATTTATAAAATTAATATTAAAAAAGGATTATATTATTACTATTTATATTTATTAGCTTTTAAATATTAGTTTATTAATAATATAAGAATTTTTGTAAATAATATTATTAAAGTATTTATATTATTTTTATTTTTATTTATATTATAAAAATATTAAAAATATTTATATTAATAAATTTAAGCTTAAAAGAATAAATAATTAAGTTTTTAAAATTAAGGTCTATTCTAATAAAGAATATAATTCCTTTTCTTTATTTATTTTTTTAAAAATTAATTATTAAAAGAATTAAACTTAAGGCCTTTACTTAAAGAGAAATAAACTTTACTATTTTTACTAATTATATTAATAAGGTTTTAATTAAATAAAATATATTTAATTTAATTTATTTATATTAAAAATATAAATATATTAATATTTTTAAAATTTATATTAAAATTAATAATTATTATTATATTATATTTAAATACTATATTTTAATATACTAATTTAATATTATATAAATAAATATATAAATTTTTATTATTTAATATATATTAAATAATTAACTTTAATAAATATTTTAATTAATATATTAATATAATAATATATTATTATTAATAAATTACTTATTTATATAATATATTTAAACTTAATATTTATTTTATATAATTATATTTTAAGTTTTAAAAATATAAATAAATTAAATATTATTTTTAAATATATATATTAATAAAATAAAAGAGTTTATAAGTCTTTATTAATAAAAGTAAAAATATATTAAGATATTATAAATTATTAAAAATATACTTTAAATATTATTATTAATTAGAATTATTATTTAAATTAAATAGTAAATTTAACTCTTTTTTAATACTATTTTTATAACCTTTTAAATTTTAAATCTTTTTCTTCTCCTTTTATTTAACTTTAGTTTTTATTTAATTTACCTAATAACTTATTCTTTATAACTAAATATTATACCTTTAGCTTCTTTTACTTTTTATTAATAGAGTATTTAAGGATTAATAAGATAAGTTAAAATTAGTTATTATTAATAAAAGGGAATTATAATAGGTAAAGAAGGAATAAATAAATTAAAGGTCTTAATATTATAATAGAATTACTATTTCTATTAATAATATTAGAAGGTAATAATTTTAATTTTTATTTTAAAGGATTTATTTAAAGGTTAATATTATTTATAAAAAATTATAAAGTTAGAGTTATTATATATTATATTTTTAAAGACCTTTAAACTTAATTTATATTTAAGTTAGTAATATATTTATTTATTTTAAAGAATATAATAGTATTAACTAATAGTTTAAGTATTACTTTATTTTAAAATCTAATAAGGTTAATTTTTAATACTTTACTTTTAATAAAAGTTAATATAAATATATTATATTTAAATATAATATTAAAATATATATATATTTATTATATTTAATATTTATATTTAAAATTAGGAGTATTTAAATATTAAGATATAAATTATAAATTAAATGTCTTTATAATTAAAAGAAAGTAAAATTATTTCTATCTTATATATAAGAACTAAAAGTATTAAGGTATTAATATTATTATTTAAAAACTTTATATTTTAAATAAAAGATTTACCTTTTAATAGCCTTTAAAAGTAATTTATAATAACTACTAATTAAATAATTATATTAATGTTATACCTTAGTTAGGTTAAATAAAAGGAATATTTTATCTTAATTATTTAGTTTAATTTTTAAATTATAT